AGATGTCAGCTATCCTCAGGAAGAATCTTTCCATTCCTGGGGGGTAGAGGTGGGAGATGGGAGCAGGGAGATGGGGAATGGGCTCTGAACTGGCAGAGATGGCTGCTAGAAAGCCCCCTCCCTAAGGTCCCAGCTTTTGACATTTCGGGGAACCCTGCTCTGGTTGAGGGTTCTGCCTGTTTAACTCTTGGGTGTAACTTTCCCAGTGTGTCCTCGACACCGGAGACCCACCTTCTGTTTCTCTCCTTGGTGCCTCTAGAAGGGCAAAACGAGGCCAGTGTGACTTCCTCTGCAGGACCTCTGGACCAGCACTGTATCCACTTAAAGTAACAACCAACAGGTGAAATAATTGTTATATCTGGTTAACTCGATTTATCTAATAGATTACGTTTCAACTTGTAATCAACATAAAACATCATTAGTGACTATTTTACATTCTTTCCTTTGTCTGACGTGTCTTCAGCACATGTGAATTAGGACTAGCCCGTTTCAGCTCCATAGCCACAAGTGGCCAGTGGCTACTGTGCTGGACAGGGGTGGGGGAAAAAAGTCACGCTGGCCCCGTTTTGCCCTTCTAGACGCACCAAGGAGAGAAACAGGTGTGTCTACTGTGTGTGTGTGTTTGTTGCGGGGGACACACTGGGAAACTTATGGCCAAGAATTACACAGGCAGAACCCTCAACCAGAGCAGGGTTTCCCAGAATGTCAAAAGCTGGGACCTTAGGGAGGGGGCTTTCTAGCAGCCAGCTCTGCAAGTTCAAAGCGCATTCCTCATCTCCCTCCTCCACGCCCCCATTCCCCCAGGAATGGAAAGAAATTCTTCCTGAGCACATGGCAGTCAGCTGTTCAAAATGTATTTCTACTGATCCGCGACGTCACATGATGGGAGGCTAAGGCATTATGGGGCCCCACGAGGAAAGTCTAGAGACTTCCAGAACCCACAAACCTTCTCACCCCTCATGGGAAAAACCTGTCTGGTTCCACTCGCCCTTCTCTAAGGGTAGTTCGCTCGCTGCCTCCTGGTTCACCAAGAGGCCCCGGCGGACTTGACCTGCCCCTCCGCTGCCCCGGCTGTCGGCGCCCCCGACCCCGGGTCCCTTTCTTGCTGCCCGGCCCGGCCACGTTGGCTGCCGGCCTCCTCTCCAACCCCAAGCTAGGCCGGGCGGGGGCTGCTGGGCGGGGCGGCCGGGGCCCCGCCTCCCTCGCCGCGCCTCCGGGTCGCCGCCTGCGCCCGGGAGCAGCGCCGCCGCCGCCGCCGCCGCCGCCGCCGCCGCCGCCGCCGCCGCCGCCGCCGCCGCCGCCGCCGCCGCCGCCGCCGCCGCCGCCGCCGCCGCCGCCCGGGAACCGGGAGCCGGGCCGCCGTCATGCTGAGCCGGCTCGGGGCGCTGCTGCAGGAGGCCATGGGGGCGGTGAGGCCGGGGACGCTGGGGCGTGCGGGGCCTGGGCCGGAAGGGCGGGCGCGGGGCCGGGGGAGGAGCCGGCCGGCACGCGGGCGGGCGGAGGGCGCGGGCCGCCTCCAGGAAGGGACCCCCCCCGGGCCGTGATGCCCCTTCCCGGGCCTCCTCGCTCCCCCGCCGCGCCCCTCCCGCGCAGCGCTCCCCGCTTCCAGTGGCTTCTTTCCGGATCGCGCGTGTTCCCAGCTCCTCTCCAGGTCGCTCCGGCCGCTAACCCTTCTCCCCGGATTGCTTCCTGTTTATTTCTCCTGCTCCCCGAGTCTCTCCCAATTCCCAAACTCCTCTGTACCGAGTGATCCCTAGTCACCCAATAGTTTCTTCCCAAAATTCCCCCCAAGGCCCCTCCCCCAGCTTGGGTGCCTTCCTCCTCCCCCACGCTCCTCCCTTCCTGGTTACCCGGCCTTAAAAAATAGCTGCCCCTTACCCTGGTTCCGAGCCCTCGGCCGCCTCCAAGACCACACTCAGGCGCACTCTGCCCTCTCACCTTGGACTTGGGAAGTGCAGGCTCCGGACTGGCCAAGTCCCCAGGAAGGGTACAGATACAGTCCGGGGGCGGGGGGTCGCCTGGCTCAGGAAACAGCCGTCTGCAGGGTACAAGCGCAGTTTCCAGAATGCTGTCTCAACACCAGCCCAGCCCGAGCCCCACTGACCTTGAGTCAGGAGAGGCCAGCTGCGGTGCGGCCTGGGGCGGCCAGCGGGGACGAGGAGTGTGTGTTTCTGCCATTTTCTGTTGGGGTTGAAGGCTGGTGAGAGGTGCCCACGGCGGCTGTTCTCTTCATTGAGCGAGATAAAAGTGCCGTTTAGATAGGGTAGGCGGGATGCCCTCCAGTTAAAGCAACCCTGCCAAGATTCTGCCAGTAAAGTTAACAATTCTTTTGTCTCACAGTATAAACCCTCCCCCTAATTGATCAGTTGAGTGTATCACATGTTCTCAGGAGAAACACCCTTGGGTTGCATCCCCTTCCTCCCCAACACACACACCAAATCGGAGCTTGTTAATGAGTGAAAACAGTCTCAGCCTTAAGCAAACTTGTGAAGAAAGTGAAAAGCTTCAGCTCTTTCTCCTCTCCCACCTGCCCCAGGCCTGCCCTCGCTGGTGTTCAGGAGCCTCCGGCCATCCCACTTCAGGAGGGGGTTCCAAAATGATCTCTCCTCCCTTCCTCCCTGTCCCCAATCAAAATAGCTGTCATTTTAGAAAGTAATCTGACATTCCTTCATACCTCTCTGGGAAAGCTCCATACACAAGGTGGGTGGACTGGATAGACAGGACCCTAGCCCTGAGAAGTGAATTTCTAATGCTTCCTATGTGGAAATTTCAGTGTCAGTGGCTGCAGGAGTATTGCTGGTCAAGGGGGATATTTTTAGGCAGGTGATCTTAGGCTCCTCAGTTTACAACATATAGATGACGCCCTGGAAATTTGGCTGGCCCCGTGCGACCATCAGGAGAGATGGGGACCCCTCTCCCTCCCACCACCAAGCTTGAGCATAGGTCTTCCCAGGGCTGGGTCACCAGGTTAAAACCCCCAGCAAGTTGCTTGACTCCTAGTTAAGGAGGAAGAGTGGTCCTTCCTGCCCTCTTCTGACAAAATAGAATAGCAATCTTTAGCGTTATTTGTAAATATAATACTATCTTTAAAAATTAATCATTTGGTGCAGTTTCCTTGGGCTGGAGTTACAGTAGCTAATAACAGATTCAGGTAAAGCTTACTTCCCTGCTTTCTTAGCTCTAACGGTCTGTTTTGGCTAACCTTTGTTCTCCTGTTTCTCCTTTTCTTGCTGGATTTTTTTTTTTTGAATTTTTTTTTTATTTTTGGCTGCGTTGGGTCTTTGTTGCTGCGTGCGGGTTTTCTCCAGTTGTGGCGAGCGGGGGCTACTCTTCGTTGGCGGTGCACATGCGTCTCATTGCGGTGGCTTCTCTTGTTGCGGAGCACCAGCTCTAGGCGCACGGGCTTCAGTAGTTGTGGTACACAGGCTCAGTAGTTGTGGCTCGCAGGCTCTAGAGCGCAGGCTCAGCAGTTGCGGCGCACGGGCTTAGTTGCTCTGTGGCACGTGGGATCTTCCACGACCTGGGCTCAAACCCGTGTCCCCTGCATTGGCAGGCGGATTCTTAACCACTGTGCCACAAGGGAAGTCCCTGGATTGTTGTTTTTCGATGTAAGTCCAGCTTAAGGCTTTAGGAGACTATAAATGAATTTTAGGGCTAGATGAGACCCCATCCCAGGCTTGTGCGATGACTGTAGCCTGGTCAGGGGTCAGAGGGCTTTCCCAGAGACAAGGAACTGTGGAAGGTGCTGAAGGAGTTTGCTGAGATATTTAGTAAATATCAATGAGTAATCACTCTGTGCAGAGCCCTTTAGGGGCAGGCAGAAACAGAACCCTGGCCCCCAGGGAGCTCACAGTCTCCTGGAGAGATGACTGCTCACCCAACAATAATAGCATCACGTAGAACGTGATAAGATGCAGTCACTCCATATGGATGGTATGCTTGGAACGACTGTGCGAGGTGCCACTCCTGTAAGAGTCGTGGTCCCCACAGCGAACTTTGAGAGAAGACAAGACTGCCTGGGCCGCCAAGGCCGGGGGAATACTTCAAGGCCTCTGATTCAGTGTGATTGCTTCCTCCTCTTGTCATAATGGTCTGCTAAGCATTCATCCTGTGTCTGTCTCCTACACACCCCCGCCAGATGACTCTTCCTCACACAGTTCCGACGTCACTGACCTGCACCCGGCGGCCTGCAAAACAATAAAAAATTTTAAAAATTAAAAATAAAATCAGACTTCTTGGTTTGGCCAAGAAATTCAAGGCCCCACACGCTCATCAATCCATCCTTGGCTCCGACATGCTTTGCAAAGTTCCTTCTGCCGGAAGTGTCTCTCCTGTGTCTCTAATTGTTGAAATCAGACCCAGCTCTTTAGGTTTTAGTTCCCGCACGACCTCAGTAAAGCCTCTTTGTTCCACTTGTTGGAAGTGACCCCTCTTTGCCCGAAGGTCATTCTCCACCTCTCCTATGTTCTCACACTATTTCAGTAGTTGCGTTATTCAGCGTGTTTTATATTCTCTTCTCCACGGCATGTTTCTGGAGGACTGGCTCTTAGACAGCCTTGTATGGCTTGTAACATCAGGCATGGTGTCTTGTACGTGGTAGGCACTCAACAGATACCTACTGAGTGAGTTATGGAAGGAGGAGACACCCCGTCCTGTGGTGTAGTAAAGCGTGAATTTAGAGATGCGTCTGGGGACCGCAGAGATGGCTTTGTGGAGGTGGTGGCCCTGAGCTGGACCTCACTGGGGACTGCTAGGACCTAGACAGGTATAGGGGGATACAGGGCCTCCTGGACAGAGGAGTGGCCAGAGCAAAGACTAAGAGGTAAGGATATAGGTAGGGACTACGCGTTTTTCTCCAGCGAAAATTTACCCTGCAAGAAAAGAGAAGAAATGTGCTTTTTTGGAGAAGTTTTTAGGGGAACTGGTTGTTACCAGTTCAAGGTTAGTTCCAGCTGGGGCATGGAAATGGAGAGAGCACTTTGGGAAAGGGGGGAGGTTCGGGAGTTGCTCACAGCAGATCAGAATTCCCCCCGGGGCGATCGAAGGAGTCAGAGGAGATGTGGACAGGAGCAGAGCGGAGAGGAGCTAGGGGTGCACGGCCTGCAGCCGTGGACAAAAGATGCAGCACATTATAAGTAAGGCACTTTCTTAATATTCCGCTAACGTTTCCCATCTGGCTGAACTGATCTGTCGTGGCCTTCAACCCGGATTTTCAGACTCTCAAACCAAGAGGGACCTGAAAGCTTTGTCTTTGCCACATTTTCCATCTGTATCATTTGGATTTTGTCTTGGTGGTGCTCTCCTGTTTCCCTCTATGTACCTCTGTTGTAGCATAACCACGATATATAGAAATGAACTGTTTCTGTGTCTGTTTCCCCTACCATCAGTCTTAGCTGCTCTGGGACAGGGAATATAGAATCATGACATGTGCTCATGTCACAGCATTTCCAGGAGGGAGAGGGGGTCTGAGGAAAGGAACCAGGAGATTGTTGGCAGATATGGAGACAATGTGCAAATGTCCTGGAGAAAATGTTTATTCAATTTGAGAACCCACGATGCCTCCTCCAGGGCCTAGCACACGTCCGACACTTAGCAGATGGTGGAATGTCCTTTCTTTTTTTTTTTTTTTTGCGGTACGCGGGCCTCTCACTGTTGTGGCCTCTCCCGTTGCGGAGCACAGGCTCCGGATGCACAGGCTCAGCGGCCATGGCTCACGGGCCCAGCAACTCTGTGGCATGTGGGATCTTCCCGGACCGGGCACGAACCCTTGTCCCCTGCATCGGCAGGCGGACTCTCAACCACTGCACCACCAGGGAAGCCCTGGAATGTCCTTTCTGATGAGTGCGGCGACCACTTAGGTTGTGTCTGCTCTCTCCACAGCGGGAGCCCAGCATTGACCTGCTGCAGGCCTTCGTGGAACACTGGAAGGGCATCACGAACTACTATGTTGAAAGCACAGGTGGGCCCTGGTCTCCTTCCGCGCAGGGATCCCTGGAGGGAGCAGGGAGGAAGGTGTGGGTGGAGTCACCCTGCAGCTCAGAGATGCAGGTGTCCTGAGGAAGGTGACATCCGCTGCTCACGAGTTCAGAGTGGGGGCTGCCCCACCCTGACCTTCTGGGAGGGGACCTGTGTGAGGTAGGAGTCGGGCCAGGGAGGCTGAGGTCTCACTGGCCTGACTCTGCAGCCCAGAGGTTGAATGCCACTTGCCCCCAGCTTCCAGTTGGGAAGAATGTCCAGGCCTTCAGTCTCCAAGTGCCTGGGCCCTGTGCCTAGGGTTACTGATTAAAGAAAAGAAATGGAATAAATTCCTCTTTTCCGTGAGCCAACTTACAGGGCATTTCTCTTCTAGAGACCTGGCAAGGCATGTAGCACACCTGCTCCTTCCCCCCCAAGCTGACACTCTAAAAAGCCAAAGCCTTGGGTCATCTGGGCCCATCAGGATCACTCACCGAGGGGGGAGCGTCTCATTGGCTGCTTTGTAGTCAGTATGCTGGGATTGGTGGAGATGCACTGGTTGCCAGGTAACCTTTCCTGCATCCCTAGCCTTCCACCACCTGGAGTTCAGACTGGGGTTTGATTCCAGCCTACACCTTTCCTAAAGGCTTTTTTTCCAGCCTGAGCCAACCCAAGAAATTAAAAGTGGCCTTTGGACACTCTGAGGGACCCTCTGAGCATTCTCTTAGACCAGGTTCCTCAGTCTTGGCACTGGTGACACCTGGACTGGATCATTCTTTGTTGTAGGGGGCTGGGGGGGGGTACACTGTATGTTTAGCAGCAACTCTGACCTCTACCCACTAAATGCCAGTAGCACCCCTTCCTTCCCCATTGTGATAACCATAAATAGCTCTCCAAACATTGCCAAATATCCTGGTGAGCAGGGGCAGGATCACCCCCAGTTAAGAACGATTGCTTTAGACTGAAGATCCTTTTTTTTTTTTTTAACTGAGAAATAATGGACACATTAGGTTGGCCACGAAGTTCGTTTGGGTTTTTGTAGCATCATACGGAAAGCCCGAATGAACTTTTTGGCGAAGCCAATATAATTGCTGTAATCAATTGAATATACTGATTCAGTACATGGAAATACGGAGAAATTATCACCACAATAAGTCTAGTTAACATCTGTCACCACACATAGCTACATTTTTTTTTCTTATGATGAGAACTTTTAAGATCTTCTCTGTTAGCAACTTTTAAACATACAGTAAAGTATTATTAACTATAGTCACCATACTGTACATTACATCCCCAGGACTTATTTTACATCTGGAAGTCTGCAGCTTTTAGACCGACGATCTCTTGACAGGGATCCCCAAGCTACCAGAGACTAGGAAAAGATCTAGAACTGCCTTGGGTTCACCTGGGGCTTCACCTGGGCCCAATCCACTAATTTCCAGACTGGTCCCTGGACCGGAGATGCAGGGGTGGGTGAGGTGAGCTGCCCTGCGTAAAAGCCAATGCTTTCAAGAAAAGCTAGGGGGTGCTCCAAGGCCAGTCCCCAAACTTTATAAAAATACTCTACCCTCTGAGACTAAGAAAACCCCACTAATCAGCTTCTCCATTAGGACATGGGCACTGTGCAGTGAGTTTGAGTCTGAACCCATGGTCATGCATGGATTTTTTTTTGCTTTGTAAAAAAAATAAGAGTATTGCCTTCCTTGAGTATAAAAGAGACATAAACAGGCCCCAGGAGGTTATCTGTTTGGAAGCTGATCGAAGATGGCTTCTAAATAATATAACAGAGACCCCTGAGCCCACAGCTTTTTACTCAGGCCCAGAGCAGGCCTGAAGCCCTAGCAAGTGTCCTTCTGTAGGCCCCAGGGTTCAGAGAAAAAATGCTGCTGCTTTCCTCTCATAAAGTGCTGGGGCCTGCACACATGCTCCGTCAGAGGGCTGTATCCTGGGCTTCATCTAGGAGGTCTTTTGTCCTTTTAACTAGAGAGGCATCAACTGTAAACTTCCCTTTCCTCTGGTCTTTGATGAAAAGTGTTAACCTGGCCTGCTCCAGGCCTCCCTCCACCCGCTAGACCCTGTGGGCTTGACCCCATCCAGCCAGAGTGCCCCTCTTCACCCCATTCACCTTGTTTGCTGAATCTTGATTAGATGAAAACACCCCGGCCAAGAAAACAGATATTCCCTGGCGGCTGAAGCAGATGCTGGACATCTTGGTGTATGAGGAGAAGCAGCAGGTGGCGGCCGGTGAGGCAGGGCCATGTCTGGAGTACCTACTGCAGCACAAGATCCTGGAGACCCTGTGCACGCTGGGCAAGGCCGAGGTGGGCAGGACCCCGGGTGCCTCTGGAACTTCCCACCTGAGCCGGTGTCCGGCAGGTCTACCTGTGCTCTTCCCGGTGCCCACACTGTGGGCGGGGCACTGAGGCTGTCTCAGAACACCCCGAGGCTTCGGGCCCTTGCTTATTTGCTTTGGTGGTGTGTTCTCGCTGTCGTCGGGGTTGAGGACATGTTTCCTTTCGTTCAGTCCACGTTCGTTCATCAAAGATGCACTGAGGACCAGCAGTGTGCCAGTCTGTGTCCTAGGCACTGGGGACCCGGCAGTGATTGAAACAGGCGAAAACTCTAGTGGGGAGAGGCAGAATAATCAAAGAAGCCCACGTATAGTATGTTCAATAAGGACAAGGTTATGGACGAAAATAAAGCAGGAAGGGGGCGGGACTTCCCTGGCGGTCCAGTGGTTAAGACTCCGCGCTCCTGATGCAGGGGGCACGGTTGGATCCCTGGTTGCAACTAAGATCTCGCGTGTGCGGCCAAAAAGGAAAAAAGCAGGAAGCGGGTTTGGCAGCATAGAGGAGGCCAGTTTCCAAGTGTGGGGGAGGGAGGCTGGCGGAGAAGGCCCCTCCGCGCAGTGAGGGGAGGAGCGGTCCGGGCGGGGGCGTGGCCTCGCCGCCTGACTGACAGGCACTCTGTCCCCGACCCGCAGTACCCGCCAGGCATGCGGCAGCAGGTGCTCCAGTTCTTCAGCAAGGTTCTGGCCCAGGTGCAGCATCCCCTCCTGCATTACCTCAGCGTCCACAGGCCTGTGCAGGTGAGGGGCCCAGAAGCTGGGGTGTCTGGGGGTGAGGCCTATGCTTTCAAGAAAAGCTAGGGGGTGCTCCCAGGCCAGTCCCAAAGCACTGGACCTTTCTCTACAAAAACACCCTCTGAGACTGTAAGAAAGCCCCCAAATCCAGCTTCTCCATCAGGACCCGTGCCGCAGGTTTGAGTCTGAACCCACGGTTGTGCACGGGTTTTTTTTCTGCCACCCCATTCTTTCTTCTCTTCCCTGCCACCCCATTCCCCTCTGTCTCTGTCCTGCTCCACTTCCAGAAACTTCTCCGACTTGGTGGGACAGTTCCTGGATCCCTCACAGAAAAGGAGGAGGTGCAGTTCACCACTGTCCTCTGCTCCAAGATCCAGCAGGATCCAGCCCTGCTCACCTATATTCTAGAAGTGAGCGCCTCTGGGGAACAGGAGCGGGAGGGCCCAGACCCCAGGGCAATCCCCCGTGGCCCTTCTGAAGAAGCAGAACAGGTACTGGGGAGGCGCTCAGGCAGCTTCCCCTCCAGCTCCGCGCTGAAGCCGCCCACGCCGTATTCCCAAGAGCCATCATGGGGAGTGGTCTGCACCACAGCCTGGCCTCACGCAGCCTCCCTTGCAGGGTAGAAATACCGTCGGTAGGAAGGAGGCATCCAGAGAAGCCACCGCCCTGCCGAGAGAGGCAGCCGGCGTCAAGAACGAGGAGCAGCCCCACAGCAAAGCTCCTGACAGGGGTGCCTGGGGGGCCCGGGCCTTGAGCACCCAGCTGCCTGCTGAGACTGAGGAGCCAGATGGAGGCACTGGGGAGAGCAACCTCATCACCTCGCTGATTGGCTTGTGCAAGAGCAAGGTGCCGGCTGCCGAGATGCAGGGAGCAGGGATGGGAGGGCGAGTTGCTGGGAGGGTACTTGGGGGATCAGCCCCACGTCACTGAAGTCGTACCCTTATCCCCTAGAGAGGCCGGGTGGCCCTGAAGGCCCAGGAGAACCTGCTGCTCCTGGTAAGCGTGGCTTCCCAGGCAGCTGCCATCTACCTGGTGCAGAGCAGCCCTTGTTGCCCTGCCATCGTCGAGCACCTCTGCCAGCTGTACCAGTCCCTGCCCAGCTTCCTGGACCCCGCAGACATTGCCACTTTAGAGGGCATCAGCTGGAGGTAGGCGCTTGGCCAGGGAAGGCTGGGCTGCATCTTCAGTGGCTAGAAGCCCTGCCCATCATCTTCCCGGTAGCGGCTCTTGTTTTCCAGGGGGCATGGGGACCCCTGCTGGCCACGGCCTTCCTGAGGTTACAGCCCATGCCCAAGGGCCTTCTCGCCTTCCAGGAAAGCATCACTTTGGCTTCTGCCCTCAGAGCCCCCGGTAGAACTGACCTCCAGCAACAGAGGTTCTAGGGCAGAGGGCAAAAGGGCCCAGCTTCCTGGACATAGCTGAAGCAGGCCTCACAAACCTCCCTCGCTCTCCCTCAGGTTACCCAGTGCCCCATCTGATGAGGCTTTCTTCCCCGGCAAGGAGACCTTGGCTGCCTTTTTGGGCTGGTTTGATTACTGCGACCACCTCCTCACAGAGGCACACACGGTGAGCGGGGTGGGCGATGGCAGGGCTCTCCTTGGGTATCCCCCGCTTCATGGTGCTCTGTTTTTGTCTCTACCTCAAGGCCCCAGGGGGTCTCTTGGGAGCTGGGTGGGGCCCAGGGTCAGCAGAGACCCTCTACCTGTTGTTAGGCTCTGTGCAAGGACACAGTTGTTTCTCAGTGGAAAATTGTCGATCGGAGGTAAAATGTGTTTGAGACATGCTCTTTGGTGCCCAGGTGGTTTCGGATGCCTTGGCAAAGTCTGTGGCTGAGAAGTTATTTGTGGAGATTCTGCAGCCCCAGCTCCTGCATGTGTAAGTTCTGTGCAGTTCCCTTGGGCGTAGCCATAGTCTGGGCGAACCGCCCACCCCACCAAGCCCCTTCCTGCACCTGAGACCAGTGACCTCCTTGTCCAGAGTCATGGGAGTCTGTGGGCTCCGTCAGTTGATGTTTGCCTGTTCCCCTGACACACTCGTGGCTCAGAGCTACGTGGGCTAACAAAGGCCTCCCACCCTTGGACTCTAGGACCTCAGGAGGGGGTGGGGTGTGAGCGGAGAAATAGCAGCTGAAAATGCAAGGGAACCAGGAAAGGGTGCTGCCCCCTACACCCCTTCCCTCCCTGCTCCTACTCTGGTCTCGCGGGCCCCGCCTGGCTCAGAGCGCCCTCCCTGTAGGTCTGAACAGAGCGTCCTGACCTCCACCGCCCTGCTCACCGCCATGCTGCGCCAGCTCCGCTCCCCTGCACTGCTGCGGGAGGCCGTGGCCTTCCTCCTGGGCACGGACCAGCAGCCTGCAGCCCCTGAGGACAGCCCTCACACCCTGGGCGGCCACCTCATCAGGCACTGCGACCACCTCTCTGATGAGGTGAGGTGGGCGGGCCCTCCTCTCTAACCGCTCCCTGGCCCCCAACCCCTGCCCAAGGGACTTCCTGAAGCTTCTTCCCATTTGCATTAGTTTTCCAGGTGGTTCTACCTTTGAGGCCATTGAAATCCAACTCCCCACCCCCGCCCCCAGCCAAAAAAAAAAGCAGAAAAAGGCAGTGGCCCAGTTACTGGTAGCCAAACTGCTTTGTCACGCAGTGACACATTTCTGTGATCACATACTTGTGATGGCACTTTTTTTTTTTAAAGATGATGTTAGGGGTAGGAGTTTATTAATTAATTAATTTACTTTTGGCTGTGTTGGGTCTTCGTTTGCTGTGCGAGGGCTTTCTCTAGTGTGGCGAGCGGGGGCCACTCTTCATCGCAGTGCGCGGGCCTCTCACTGTCGCGGCCTCTCTTTTTGCGGAGCACAGGCTCCAGACACGCAGGCTCAGTAGTTGTGGCTCACTGGCCTAGCCGCTCCGGGGCATGTGGGATCCTCCCAGACCAGGGCTCGAACCCATGTCTCCTGCATTAGCAGGCAGATTCTCAACCACTGCGCCACCAGGGAAGCCCCTGTGGTGGCACTTTTTATCTTACAAAATGCTTTTATATTCATTTGGCTTGTTTGAAGCTGACAGCTCCGGGCCATTTTTTAGACATGGAAACTAAGGCTCCGAGGAGCCAGTGGGCTTGCCTGATACCACACCTCAGATTAGTAACGGGACAGGGACCAGCCAGACTTCTGGTTCCTGGGCCAACACCCATCTGCTCCCCTTAAAACCTGCCACCTTAGCTCCCGGCTGGAGGAGGTGACCCCCTCCTAGGGGGACTCCTTTTATCTGGGTGAGCACTTCCCAGGCACCCCTAGAGGCCGGGGTGGGGAAGGGGTGTCCTGCTGACCGCTTCTTGTCCCAGATCAGCATCGCCACTCTGCGGCTGTTCGAGGAGCTGCTCCAGAAGCCCCACAAGCAGATCATCCACAGCCTGATCCTGTGCCACCTCGAGGGCCGCCCTTACGTGGCCCGGGGCTCGCCCGAGCCCGAGAGCTACGAGGACACCCTGTAAGTGAAACTCAGTGCCTCGGGGAGGCCTCGGACCGTTCGGGGCCCCCCCCCGCCGCCAGCCCCCAGCACCCCACACCAGTTCCTGCGCTCACTGGTGCCTCGCTTGTCTGCCCTGGCACAGAGATCTGGAGGAAGACCCCTACTTCACAGATGGCTTCCTTGACTCCGGCTTTCAACCCTCCATGAAGCCTCCCCCTGCCCCCGTCACCAACCCCGATGGCAAAACAGCGGTGACCGAGATTGTCAACAGGTAGGAGCAGGTCAGGAAGTCTGAGCCACCTGAGTTTTGTTCCGTCTTTGGCCACAGCCCTGATGGGGTGCAGCCGGGAGAGTGCTCCCTCGGGGCTGGAGGTGGAGCGGGGAGAGCAGGGCGGCCCAGGCGGGGACACCTCCACACCTAGGGTCCTGTCTCTCAGTTTCCTCTGCCTCGTTCCTGAGGAAGCCAAGACCTCGGCTTTCCTGGAGGAGACCGGATATGACACGTACGTCCACGATGCTTACGGACTGGTGAGTGTCAAGGCCTCTGCCGGCACCCAGTTCTCGCCGCTCAGAGCGTGGGGTTAATACACTCTGCCTCTGCCTCTGCGATCTCCCGCCAGAGGTGCTCCCAGCTCTGGCCAAGTGCCCGAGCCCCACCTGCCTGCGCGGCTCCCTCTGTCTGCTGGTGCCTCCTGACCACTGGGTCCACCTCTTTTAACTCTCCCCTCCTGTTTCAGTTCCAGGAGTGCAGCTCCCGTGTGGCGCCCTGGGGCTGGCCACCAGCTCCCACACCCCTGGACCCCCATGAGCCCGGACGGCCTTTCTTTGAGGGTCACTTCCTCCGAATGCTGTTCGACCGCATGTCCCGGATTCTAGAACAGGTGCCCGACAGGGCTGGGCCCCTGCCACGGCGAGGGCCTCTGGAGTCCTTCAGGAGAGCAGGGCCCAGCTGTGGGGGTCCAGTCATCTTCTCTTTTCTGGCTCCACGACCCCCGCTCAAGCCCCACCTTTCCCCAGGCGGGAAGCCCCGTCTCACCTCTGCTCCACATGCCCTGACGTGCCCTGGTCCTCAGCCCCAGGGAACCCGTGACACACACATCACATGGATCTCCAACCCCCACGCGTGTTCACACTGGCCAGGTGCCTTGCTGGGGGGTGGGGGGCGCAGAAGTGCTCACTCCCTGTGCCAACCCTTGCTTGTCCACCGTGCTCCCCACAGCCGTACAGCCTGAACCTGCAAGTGACCTCAGTCTTGTCCCGGCTCGCCCTCTTCCCTCACCCCCTTATCCACGAGTACCTCCTGGATCCCTACATCAACCTGGCCCCTGGCTGCCGGAGCCTGTTCTCTGTGCTCGTCAGGGTAAGGATGCCCAGGCCAGAGGGAGCATGCCAATGCTGAGGACAGGACGGGGGTGCTGGGGGCTGCAGGAGTGGGCACCCTTGCCAGCGCCAGGGGAAAGCACTGGTACCACCCCCCTCCCATGGTGCGACAGAGCAAGGGACCCTGCGGCAGTGTCGCTGGTCTCCTCAGTCCCCTCTTGTTCCCACTCTAGGTGATCGGGGACTTGATGCAGAGAATTCAGAGGGTGCCCCAGTTCCCAGGCAAACTTCTTCTGGTGCGCAGGCAGCTGATGGGCCAGGTCCCCGGGGAGCAGTAAGTAACAGAGGGAGGCGGGTGCCCAAGGAAGAGCCCTGGGGTGGGAAATCTAGGGCTTCCGGGTGGGGGAGGCGCCAGGCCGGGGACAGAGGGCCCACTGCTGAGGCCTGTGGTCCCTCACAGACAGACGGAGGTGGCTGCCGCCGGGTGATCCCTCACAGACACTGGGATACCACGCTGGCACGCTCCCCACACCTCCCAGCCGTGACCCCCGCCATGCTGTCTCCTTCAGGCTGGACCACCAGACCCTCCTCCAGGGCGTGGTAGTCCTTGAGGAATTCTGCAAAGAGCTGGCTGCCATCGCTTTCGTCAAGTTCCCCCCACATGGTCCTCACCTGCGCCTCCCTGAACCCCCGGAAGGGCACGTCTGAACCAGGAACATGACACCTCTGCCCAAGAGCTGCTTCCCGCCTGGCACTGCTGCCACCACTGTCCTCCCGGGGTGGGGGCTTGGCTCTGTCTCCTTCACATCCCGGGGACCTCTGCCTGGGTGGAGGTCTGGGCTTCCACTCTCGGGTTAACTCAAGACGACCTTGGCCTGTTAGCTCCACCAGACTGGGTTTCAAGGAGTGGGTCTCCAAGGTATCAGAAGCCAAGTAGGAAAAGAGGTGGCTTTCTGGGCAGCATGGTGTCCTCGGGGCCTTCTCTGGGGAGCTGGGTGACGGCCAGGTGAGCCCCCAGACCCAGAGCTTCATGTGTCCTGTGCCTGTCACCTGTCTCTGTGGGCCATCTGTGGCGAAGGCCAAGACCTGAGACTCATTCCAGGGGCACAAGGGGGAGTGAGCTGATAGCTCTGAGGCTGGTCAGGACCACAGGCCAGAGAGATGCGGGCACGACCCTGTCTCTGCCACACCAAGTACCATAGATGCTGCCAAGACTTGACGTTTTCTCTCCTGCCTTCTTGGCTTAACCCTTGGGGAAGCGGCAGTGGACAGCAGGGGAAGCCCCTCTTCCCGCTCAGCCCCTCTTCCCGCTCAGCCCTCCTGGAGACTGTTGCACAATTCCCAACAGCCTCATGGCAACTGCCCAAAGCATGCTCCGTGCCCAGCTGGGGGCAGCCGCTTATGAGAAGCTTGATGCAGCTGCAGCCAGGGTGGGAGAGGGCCTGGGGAGCCCGGGGGGGCTGGATGCCAGGCTCCAGCTCCAGCTGGTTTCTCTCTGGCGCCTTCTGAACTTGTCTCGGCAGGTCCACGACACCTGGGCAGAGGGGCTCAGAGACCGGGGGAGGCCAGGCCTTGCCCTTAGCATCCTGCCAGGGTTCTCCATGGAATTCAATCCCAGCGGTGCTGGAAGTTCTGGGTCCGGGTGAGGCCAAGATGCCCACCGGACCGTGGGCCCCACCCCAAGGCCTGGCCGGGGAGGGGGGCTGGGGCACAGGCAGCCAGCCGGTCATGGTGTGGTTCTCCCTGCATGACCTCCACGGCTGGGGCCGCCACCCCGCCCGGCCCGAATCTGTCTCAACCTGCAGGAGCACCCAGGCGGCGCCAGGCATTACCTCAGCAAACTGCAGTTGCTGGCTTCACTCCTGGGCAAGGAGGAGCAGGCCAGAGCCCCACTTGCTTCATTTTTCTGCCCATGCTGCTTCTAGAAGCCGTCCACAGGTTGCCAAGAGGTGACGTGAAAGAGGAGGAAACTCAATGACCTCTACCTCTCCTGCATCCCTCCAAGCTGGGGAAGATTTAACTGCTGCTCCGGAGGACACTGTGCACGTGCCTGCACGCGTGCGTGCGCACGTGGGCGTTGGTGTGGGACGGGAGCAGAGCTCAGCGGGCCAATTGGGTCTGGACTCTTCGATTCAGAAAACGTTTGAGCGTCCGGGAGTCAGACACTCCACTCCCCAACGCACTCGGGCATTCGCACGGTGTCCCCCGCTAGACAGCACGGCAATAAATGGTGTGGTTGTGTGGACACAGCTGCCCTGTTCTTCTGCACCCTTTGTGTCCTTCTGCCCAGGGCTCTACTGCTGATTCAGGCCCATCTTCCTAAGGAAGGCGAATTAAATTCCTTTTCCAGCACAGGGGTGTATGGGGGCAGTGTGTGTGGGGGGGGGGCCAGAGGGGGAGTGGTAAACAGACAGGCTCTGGCGGTGCAGATCTGATGTTCCCCGGCACCTACCAGGAACCAGCCTCTTTTGGCCAAGCAGCACTATTTTTGCCCGGCTTGCCTACAGCTGAGAGCCGGCAGCCCTGGAGACGCCACGAGGGAATGGGCCACCTGAGGCATCTGTATGCAAGTCTCCTTTTTAGTGTTTATGTTGTGAGCGGTATGACTGCTTTAGTAGTGAACAGTGGGCCTGATACTTTAAAAAATCTTGTCCCTAAGTGTATGCGTGTGGCGACCCTCTGAGGGGGGGTCCCCAAGAGTACTCCAAGGCAGGGAAGATGAAGATGCAGAGTGAGGCCTGATCCGTGGCTTTCGCCTCGTTGCTTTTTAAAAGCATCCCCCTGTGCTCCAATCCCGCCCTCCACCAGTTAATCACATCTCTGAGGGTGGGCCCACAGTTGTTTTTAAAGCTCTCCAGGTGATTCTAATGGGCACCCAGGGTTGAAAACTACTATAGGCTAAATAATGGAAGATCACTGTCTTTCAACGTGGATGTGGACCGGTGGGTCTCTCAGACGCTGAAAGAAGGGAAACCAGAATGAAAGGGTTTGTCTCCCTCATTTGGAAGATGTCTGTCTGTAGAGGGAACAAGAGTATTCCTACCACAGCCCCAGAGGCCAGAAAAACAAGATGGCAGCCCAGAGAGGCAGGGAAGGGGGGCTTTGAGGTTACCCTGGTCCTGTGGGGTCAGAGTGGAGTTACTTCAGAAGGGAAACCCAGTCAAGTATTCCCCTGCTCAGAACGAAACCTGTATGTTAGTGATGAGTGTATAGCAGTAAGTAGCGTGAAATATTTTCCTCATTTCCTTTGTTTTTCCCTTAAACTTTAGTAAAATTCTTTTTAAAAATAATTCCTACCATGATTCAGCTAAACTGAGGGGAAATGAAGAGAAGGTTTTGGTCTGGCTTTGGGCTGGAGGTGTACCAAGGCAGAGGCAGGAGCCTGGGGGGCAGAGCGAGGTCGGGAGGGATCTGTCGGAGAAGCTCGGGGAGAAAGAGACTGGGGGAGAGAGGCAGGGGCAGCTCTTACAGCTCCTCGCCCACCTGAAGCTTCTCCTGGCCTTCTCACTGCTCAAACCTTGGAGGGGATGTAGTCACATCCCACCTGGCAGGCAGATGAAGGAGCCCCAGCGGGCCCAAGACAGGCTGTGGTGGACAAAGGAAGCCTGCCAGCCGGTCACCTGCAGTGTCGCCTGCTGTCTGGGAAGGCCTGGGTGGTATCAGTGGGATGAGGGAAGGAGCTTCTCTTGATGGCAGTCCCCCTTTCCTGCTCACTTCCAGCCCACAGAGACATTTAGGCGGGAAGGCAAAGTAAACAACACCTATTTACTCAGCCAGGGACCCACTCCCTTGGAATGACCTCCCCCAGCACCCCTTCCACGTTCTAAGTGCTTGAGAATCTGGATGAGGCCCTTACTGAGGTGGGCACGGAAAACGATGAGGAGGTGCCACCTCAGGTCCAGAAAGTCCTCACATTGCCTTAGGGAGTCGTGCCCTCATTGTGCCCTCAGGGCAACTGGGTCCTTGAGCTCTGGACTCCTTGCTTGGCTGAAGGCACTGCCCCTTCTGATGCAGTGCAGGGACCTGCTCCATGGCAACAAGAGATGGAAGTCCCCCTGGGAACCAGAACTGCCCTGCTCCCCATGCAACAAGATCTCTACCAACCCCCTGTGCCTCTCAGAGGCACAGCCTCCTCTGAAGCACAGACGCCATCATACAGGGGGTCAGATGGCCTGAGCATAAGCGCAGGTTGTGCAATTACTGCCCATGGGAACCCAGCTCCTGGCCCACTGACGGCAGCCTCCTATCGGTTGATTGGGACAACAGATGATTCCTGAAGCCTCTGTAAGAGCTGGCTTTGTAGGTCTTCCTCCACCACCTTCCACCAAAAGAAGTTCTCACCCCGAACCTTCGGGGGCTCATTTTGGATACCTGGATTCCGAAAAGCCACCGTCACCAGCACATTCAGGCAGATGCCATCGGTTTGGTCTTTGCCTAGGTGCTGCAGTCCAAGCAACCCCTTGGTCTCCACTGCCAAGTGGTGCAGGGTCAGACACTCCTGTAGCAGACGCAGGACGGCCATCTTGATGCCACCCCTCTGCTCTATGGGAGCAAAGCCACAGGCGGTGATGGGCAAGTGAGGCATCCCCACTGTGCCCACCAACACCCACACTGTCTGGACACTGGTAAAGGTGGCTACGAGCCGCTGGCAGACCAGACTGCAGGGAAGCTCTTGGGGCAGAAGGAGAGGGTGCCTGGCTTGCTGGCGATACTGGGCGGCTAGCTCTATCAGATGCAGAATGTCGTGGGCTCGCAGCGGGGTGGGCAGCGAGGTTCGTGGGTACCAGCCAGCCTGCAGGGACTCCGCATCTGCCTCCTTGGGAGTCTTGAGAATTCCACCTGGGGGTGATGTAGGTGACAGGGTAGGGGGAAAGGTATTATGTTGAGGGAAGTGCTGGGCCTGGCAGAGTAAAGGGCCACCCAGGGATCTAGCCCTGACCCAGGGGAGGCCCCGAGTCAAGTCCTCAGGCTGGAATCTGGAGATGCCAGGTTTGTACCAGCCAGAACAGGGGCTCATCTCACCTGAGGACAAGCTGGGGAAACGGTGTCAACTGCCCTCTGCCCACACTGCCATCCACTGGGCCATACCTGTGGGGCGAGCGAGGAACACAAAGCGGATCCAGGAGGGGCCCCGCTCCTCCACAGATAGCAACGTCAAAGGCTCACACTGCAGCCCAGCCTCCTCCTTCACCTCCCGCTGCAGCGCCTCCACAATGGTCTCCCTGGGTTCCATCCTCCCCGCGGGAAGGTACCACGACCCACGGCACTCCTTCTTGGCCTCCTGGATCAGTAGCACCTCATCCTGAGGGGAGAGGAAGGATCCTCACCCACCACAGCCGGGATGGGAGCTCCTGGGGAGCAGCACAGCCGGCAGCCTTTGCTTGCCCTGGGTCCATAACAAATCTCAGCTATAGCTGCTCAATACCCACATTCTGGGGGACACCCTGAAATTGTTGCGCTCTCCAGATGACTGGCCCTTGTGTGTCTGGGGACTGCAGCTGCCTCTGCAATCCATCCCTCTTTGCACTCAAGTTTCCATTTCAGAAAGGGGCAAAGATTCCTGGGAGCTGCTTCAGGGGCTGGAGATTAGGCCTCCCAGCGAGGGCTGCCATGTGTCCTGCACTGATTCGTGTCTGCATAAGTCACTGCATATCTCTCACCTCCCCTTGTGGTTTATAAACTGCTTGTGGCCAGTCCTCACACTGGAGTCTAGACTTTGAAACACACCCCAAACCCTCACCCCGTACAACTCCTACCAATGGCTCTGGCCCCTTCTAGCTGTTGTCACAGCAGCTTGTACAGGGATCAGCACCAAAAAGAGCATCACACAGGGGGTCAGAAGGTCTGAGTGTAAGCGCAGGTTGTGCAGTTACTGCCCATGGGACCCAGGGGAGGTCTCAGAAGCACTGGACAGGTCTTTAAGAGAGCCCGCTCCGCGGCGGGCACTGTGCTAGATTCTGGGGAAAGGAAGAGGCGTAAGATAGCCTCAAGGAACTGAGGCCTAGAGGGATGGGACAGGCAGGCTCCTGGGCCTTAGTTTCTTTCTTTGTACATCGGGACAATGGCAGGGTTGGGTTGCACAAGGCTCAGATGTTAACTGTGAGAGTGCTTTGCAAAACTGGGAAGAGCCACACACCAGGAAGCGGTGGCTGTTGCCGGTATGTCCTCTGTCGCCACCGGGGTTGCCTGCAAGCCCGGGAGGCCTGGTCGGTGGGCCTGACGGGCGGACGCTCACCTGCTCGTTGAGGAACACGGCCAGCACCACGTAGCAGACGTTCTTCCGCAGCCGCACCTGCGCCGGCGTCTCCCCGGCCGGCCGCGAGTCATAGCTCTGCACGCGCAGCCCCCGGCCCCCCAGAACGGCCGCCAGTGTCCCTGCCAGGTCTTCCGAGGCCATCGGGTCCCCAGGGAGAAGGCGGGCCCCCCGCAGACCGGCCAAGCCGGGTGGGATGAACTTGGGTGACCGTGGAACGCGTCGCCCTCACACCCTCCCCCTGCGAACTCGGGCCAGACGCGCTCGCAAAGCGGAAGCGCCCGGCGAGCCCTAGCCGCTGATAGGCTGCGCGTCACTGCGGCCGGCCCGGATTGGCTGGCTCGCATCTGTCACGGTGGGGCGGGGCCAGTCCGTAAGGGGGCGGGGCCAGTCCGTAACGGGGCTGGCAGTGCGGACCCCGCCCCGCTTCTGCCTCTCTATCGGTTTCTCCTCTCTCTTTCCCGGCGCAGCCAGCTGCCAGCCAAGCTAATTCCTCCCGCGCGCACTTGTCTGCACCGGTTCCGACGATGATGTCATCCTGCCCGCAGGCTGCGGAGCGCCGCAGCGGCCAGCGACGGTGACGTTACAAGCCCGAGGACGTCCCGGGGCCCGAGGCTTGGACCCACTGTCCAGCTTCTGTCGTAAACAAACCATGGCCTTGCCCGAAATGACACTTCCCAGATAACCTTTCTTCACTAAAAAGGGACTTGGCTGTCACGTAGCAGGGAGGACACGAGCTCCTGCCTTGGAGGAGATTTTGATCTAGTTGGAGACGTGGACATAGACATATAATGGAAAGTCAACTGATTTATAAGCCAAGGACTAAAAGATTGGTTTTGGCATGAGATGCTACAGGCGCTCAGAGGAGTGAGGGGGCAGAGCTGGGTTGCTCAAGGTGTGCCTGGCGATGAAAGGCGGGATTTGGGGCAGAGATCAGCCTGCCCAGCCCTCAGTATTCTCCCGGCGCCCTGCCTGCCGCATTTCCCTCGCAGGGTCAGGGCCCTCTCCCCTGCAGGGGCCGGGTCCTGCTCTTTATTGTCCCCCCCCCCCCCCGCCCCCGCAGTGGTTTTCACCCTTAGCCATGAGAATGCCCTGAACCCCACCCATCCTGTGCAGCAGCTTCACCACAACCAAGTTGGGCAAGTACACTATACCCCACCCTCCCTGCACAGAAGTTGGCCCCCCCCCCCACCGCCCCCGCAGTTAACGGAGCCCTGGAATATTGAGAGATGGTGTGTGGGTTGATTTGGGGAGCTCCTGCTTCCCCCGCAGCCTGATTTTTCCTCCTCAGAGCTTCCTTTAACCGCCTCTCAGGACAGGAAGGCAGGGCCAGCTGGAATGAAGCTGAAATCAGCCAAGTCTGGGCTCTTCAGCCCCAGTGAGGGCTCCCCTTTCCCTCCTGCTGGCTTTGGGCATGTCCCTTTTGGGGGATCAGTAGCTTGGTGGAGCAGGCAAAGCGCTGGACTTGGAGCTGGTTGCCCAGCCACTGCTCCCTGGCTGGCTCTGTACCCTGAATAAGTTGTGGGCCTGTTCGCTCATCCTGTATGCTCCTAACAGCTCTTCCTTCCCAGGGCTGTCGGGAAGGTGAGACATCATGAGAGGAGCTCTGTGGGCTGTCTGGCGAGGGTCACCACCACCAGGCAGCCCACCAACCCTCCAGGCTGGGCCCTCCTGGCCACAGCACTTGTTGCTACCACACAAGGGCTCATTTTCATGAAATGTGCCTACAGGGCCACCGTGAACTAGACCTTACTCTCGGGAATTCCAGCCATACCAGATCAGCCTCCTTAGGCCCTTCTCACATACTGAACTTACTGCAGGGTCCCTGGAGGCAGGGTGCTGGATTAGGCTGTGGAGTATCCCCGGGGGACCCGCAATCTTTTGAGGCACTTGGTGAACGCTGCTGCCCCTACCCCTATCCAAGACCTGTCACGTCCCAAACAACTGAACTCACAGGGCTGAAGTCAGGCCCCCAGGACTGCAGAGCAACTTGTCGATGTATCTGCCGCACATACGTGCGTGCGTGCGTGTGCGTGTGTGTGTTTAGACCTTGATTTTCCCATCTGTGAAGTGGGGACAGTGTTAGTCCCAGACTCCTTTCTGCCTCCCAGGGATGATTTGAGAGAGAGTGAGGTCATGTCTGGGCAGGGCTCTGAGAGTCTCAGAGGCAGCCTAAGATAAATACCAGATGTCCTAACTGACCGAAAGAGCAAAGGCTGCAGCAGACCGTGTCTCCACTCCCCCCATTATCACTGGGAAAAGTGCTCCTCTCCTGTTAAGTGGACCTAGTCACCCCTATGATGAAGAGCACATGAGAAACTTGAAAACCAGTTGTAAACTGTGAAGGGCCCCACGGGCAGAGGGCCCTTGAGGGGGTGTACCCAGGCCTTGGCAGATTCTGAGGGGGACAACAGAAAGTAGACTTTCTCAAGGTGTTGGGAGACCGAGCACACACCAGACTGAGTCAGGAGAGACCCCAAGACAGAACTGGAAAAGCCAAGGGAGGGAGGGGGGCTGAGATAGAAACTTCCAGAACCTGAAACAAAGGTAGGTCTCCATCAGGTTTGCTCTGCATCCTCCATTCCCACAGAGGGCAGAGCACTGGCGGGTGTGGGTGGCTGAGCAGCACAGTGGACAGAAGTGGCTGAACTGGTCGGCCCCGCGGTGTAGTGCTCCCAGCACCCACAGGAGCCAGGCCTGAGCCAGCCATTTTGGGGCCTGTGGACACACGTGCATGTGAACAGGAAGGCAGTATAGGCAACCTCGGAAACAGGCCGGGCAGGCAGGGTGGGGCAAGGGTGTCTGTGAGGCTAAAGTCATTTAGGGAGCAGCAGCCCTGGCCCTGGACAAAGCAGGAAGGGTGAGGAGGACAGTAGCCCAGAGTATGGGGAGGAGGAGGTCTGGCTTCAGCCTGTGCCCTGCCACTAGCTTGCTGGGTGACCTTGCGGGAGCCACATCTACCCTCTAGGCCATCTGTAAGGGGGATGGGTGGATCCTAAAACAGAAAACTGGTGAAATCCCAATAAAATCTGTTGTTTAGCTAATGGTAGTGTTAATATCAATTTCTTATGTTTCGATCATTGTGCCACAGTTCTATAAGATGTTACGGATGAAGGGTAACTGGGAACTCTCTGTAGTATCTCTGTGACTCAACTGGAAACCTCAAATCATTTCAAAATTAAAAGTCTAAAAAAAAAACCAATAGGACTTCCCTAGTGATCCAGTAATTAAGACTCGGTGTTCTCACTGCCTAGGTGCCGGATTCAGTCCCTGATCAGGGAACTAAGATCCTGCAAGCAGCGTGGCACGGCCAAAAAAAAAAAGTATGAAAATTGTACTTGAGGGCTTCCCTGGTGGCGCAGTGGTTGAGAGTCCGCCTACCGATGCAGGGGACACAGCTTCGTGGCCCGGTCTGGGAGGATCCCACATGCCGCGGAGCGGCTGGGCCCGTGAGCCATGGCCGCTGAGCCTGCGTGTCCGGAGCCTGTGCTCCGCGACGGGAGAGGCTGCAACAGTGAGAGGCTGGGTACCGCAAAAAAAAAAAAAAAAATTTACTTGATAAGAAAAAAAAAGGCAGCGTTGGATATACACACTCTGAGGTCACTTCCAGCTCTGAGGTTGTGCCTCTGTGATATCTGGGCCGGTGAGCGGGGCTGAAGCAGGTGGACAGTGGGATACAGGGAGAGGCAGAGGCCCAAAGTGCAGGGATGGACTGAGGGGGGGGCTGCTGAAACTCCTTGAGGAAGAGGGCCACCAAGTGCCTCAAGCTGTCTCAGGGTCAGTCCCCACCTGGACCGGTTTCATTCCCAGGTCGAGTTCTGAAACATTTGGTCCACCTGCTGCTCGCTAGGAGCCAGACCCAATATGCCCTCAAGCGTGCTGTGACCTGCCATGAAAGGGGAGGCCTCAAAGAGGCCTGGAGGGGAGAGAGGGCCTGTCCCGGGGCCATCGCCATCTTCCCACAGGAAGGACTCCATGTTTGGGGTTCTGGGGTGACATCAGGACATGGCTATACAAGGTGAAGTGTAGGTAAGGATGGGTCACTCCGTGCCACTTGGAACGTGATCAGCTCTGAAGTGCATGTACCGGAAGGAGGAGGACAGAGGGCACAGCAAGCCCATCTGCAAAATCCATTAAACACGAAGACTGTAATGTAAATGAGGCGACTTAAGTCAGGAAACTTGGTTCAGGTCCCAATTCTGCCACTAAAATTGCTGTGTGACCTTGGGTGACACATTTAACCCCGGCCTGCCTGTTTCCTCTTCTGTAAAATGGAAATAAGTAATATCGGCCCCAAAGTTGTGATAAGGGTTTCAGTGAGATCCCTGGCACATAAAGTGCAGTAGTTCCTTAATTTTTTCTTTTTGCTTTTTTTCCTGTCCCGTGGAAAAAAATGAAAATAACCTAGCTTTCCAAACAATGAAGAAACCTAACTTTTTAAAAAATGAGAGATGATTATGGAAATCACTGCCAAGCCACTTAAGGGAATATACACAGCCATTTAAAATAAAGGTTAGATAGCAACCCAGGAAATGATCACAATACATTTTTACAGAAGGAAACCCAGCATGGTTTCCCTGGTGGAGCAGTGTTTAAGAATCTGCCTGCCAGTGTAGGAGACATGGGTTCGAGCCCTGGTCAGGGAAGATCCCACATGCCGCGGAGCAACTAAGCCCGCGCTCCACAACTACTGAGCCTGCACTCTAGAGCCCGTGTTCCACAACAAGAGAAGCCACCGCGATGAGAAGCCCGCACACCGCAACGAAGAGTAGCCCCGGCTCTCCGCAACTAGAGAAAGCCCATGAGTAGCAACCAAGACCCAACACAGCCAAAAATAAATAAAAATTAAATAATAAATAAATTTAAAAAACAAAACAAAATAGGAAACCCAGTACAAAGCACCCCAATACATCCATGTGTAAAACAGATCCCTGGAGAAAAGACTAAAGGAAATACACCAAAAGACTAATAGTGGTTGGATTGGAGGTGAGTGGAGGTAGGTCTACAGCTTTCTTTTTCTTATTTTCTAAATATTCTGAAAGTATATTAAATTTATAATAAAAAAATTTATTTCATAAAAAAACATTCCCTGAACCACTGCAGGAACAACTGTAACACGAGTTGGAGGGTGTTGTGGTAAGATGTACAAGGGCAGGGGAGTGGGTGGAGTCACACCAGAGGGTCCCAGGCGGGGGAGGGAGGGGCTGTCAGCTGTCTCAGGCGACCGGCCAGTGGGCATGGGGCTGGCCATGGGCACCAAGGGCAGAAGGCTGGGCAGGGGCTCTCCCCGGCCAGACTCCCGGAGCTCCAGGTCAGGTCAGACAGGAGAGATGGGGTAGCCTGGAGTTCGTGGGGAGAGTGAGGGTTCCAGAATCTCTGGTGCCACACAGGGAGATGGCCTTGCTGCTGTGGCCCAGACCTCTGCCTTGCCCGCTGTCGCTGTCAGGAGTATCCTCAAGGGCAGCCCCCTTGGAAGGCTCCACCTGCTTCTCTGCGGGAGGGAGGGACCCTGCCCCCCACCCTAAGAAGAACAGGCAGGGGTGTTTGAGGTCCCCGTCACTACAGCCTCAGCCCCCTCCCACCCTGCTCCATATCCATGTGTTCCCTCCCTCCCCAGTCCATGTGGCCTGCAGGAGCAGGGCCAACCACACTGCAGCATTCACAAAACAACAGCCTTTAATGGAAATCAAGAAGGAAGGAGGCGAGAGGAGGGTGCAGGGATGGGGCTTCGCCCATATCAACCCCTCCAGCCAAGCCTGGGTAGTGGCCTGATACTGCCCCCTCCCCACACTTCACAGCTGTCTGGCAAGAGGGCAGGATGTCAGTGGCCCTTGTCCAGCACGCCTGCAGTGCAAAGGGCCACCTGGGTGCCCAGGAGGATGTGGGTGGTATAAGCAGAGCTCGGGCACAGGTGAGACAGCAGGAGATGAAGCAGCAGCAGCAGGTGTTGCCTAAGCCAGAATGAGTTCCGAGGTCCCCCAAGGAAGGGCTCTTCGTCTCCTGGGTTGGCGGGCAGGGGTTGGAGGGAGACGGTCATCCCCAGTGTGAGTCTGGTACCATGGAGAGGAGCTCGGGCTGGAGCAAGTGCCAGCCTGCAAAGGGCAGGTGCGAGCTTCAGTGGCACTGTGGTTGTCGGCCTTAGGGCCCAGGTCAGGGGCAGGGAACGGGGTGCCCCGCTTGTGTCCAGAGTGGTGCTTGCGGGATTGAGCAGAAGTCCCCAAGTTCCCCGGTGCCATTCTCTGCTGAAGCTGTGCCTGGGCTGAGCACTGGTCTGCCTGCTCCCAACCCCTACCCCAGACACCTGGGATCCCCCTATTTAGCCTCTTGCAATGTTCCCACAGCCAACTTCACTGCTTGGAACACAGCCCAGTCCATCTAGGAGAAAAGGAGACGACAAGGAGTTTACAGTCACACCCCGGGCTCTCCCTGCCGAGAACACCCTCCCTGGGTGCAGTTGTGCCGTGGGGGGAATTGGGCAGCACACCCAGGCTCCCGGCCAGTGTCACACTCACCTGGGCATAAAGCAGGCGGCAGTCAGGGGGCAGGCTGGGCCCCTGGTGGCAGAGCTGAGCAGAGAGGGCAGAGGTCTCGGGGGACAGGAAGTGCTGAGTGACACTCACTGTGCTGACCAGCCCCTGCACCTGTGCCAGGGAGGGGGCGGGCAGGAGGGTCAGTGGGGACTCAGGATGACGCACCCTGCCCCACTGGTTCCTGAAGTCTGCTTCCCCAAATGACCCCCACCCAGCTCTCAGAGAGCAGAGGCCCTGGATCCAGCACTAGCCACCCCCAAAGGGCGTGGCCAAAACCAGGCCAAGGGGATGCCAGAGACGGCACAAGCAGAGTGGGCACCCAAGGACACAAAACCCAGTTGGCTTGATGACTTCAAGACCACTAGGCTTCTCCTCTTCCCTGCAGTGGAGGCGTGCCTTCCTGCTCTGCCTAGCTCCAGAGGGGAACTGAGAGGGACGAGGGTGTTCTCAGAGGGACTGAGAACTCGCTGGGGAATGCTTCCGGTATTCTGAGCTCTCCGAAGGGCCCCGCCTGCACGCGCCAGGGAAGCACCTGGTGGGGAGCCCCCGCGGGCACCAGCACGGCCTCTCCGGGGGCCTGCAGCAGAGTCCAGCAGCTCACACCCCACTCCTCCCGCAGGCGCCGCCGCAGCCCTGCGTCCAGGTAGCAGCTGCCCGGGGTGCCAGGCTCCAAGTTTCCAGCCCCGGCCGGGCACACCTCAAAGAAAAGGAGGAATGAGCAAGGCGGGAGGCTAGGGCGGGGCTGCAGGAAGATGGGACACGGGGCTGCCCAAAGGCCAGAGGCACAGGAAAGAGCTGCAGGGGTCAAGTCTTGAAGGGCAGGGGGAGGACATAGAGGTGGGAGAGAAAGGAGCAGGATGGTGAAGGGCTGGGGTTGCTCAGGTTGGCAGAATAGAGATTTGGCTGGAAGGAGCTGAGAGGAAAGGATTAAGGGCTCTAAGGCTGGGGGTCTAAATCCCCTCTTTTCCCAGGGCTAGATGCCTTGAGTAGCCTCTGTGGCCCTGGCCCTGGGCCCTCTGCTCCCTCCTTCAAAGGTACCCCTTTCTCCAAAACCCAGGAAGACGTCCTGCATAACCTCAACTCATCAACTGTCTACACCAGGAGCTCTTAATTGCAGAGTCCTGTGAAGATCCTGAACTGTGTGCTAAACTGTAGGTGAGCAGGTAGCTGTATGTCCCTGGGGAGACAATCCAAAGCATTCGTCAGATTCTTCTATGATCCCAGATCCAGAAAAGGCACAGCCACACGGAAGTTCTGACTCCCCAGTGGATGGACCGACCGGCTTGCCTGTCCAGGCTGAGGCCTCTGAAGCAGGCACAGCTTTGGAGGCCTTCACCAGCCCAACCAGAGCGGGGAGCTCCTTGGCTAGATGGGAACTCGTGGAGGCCAGGGCCCAAGGAACACCTGCAGAGGTGAACCCAGCATCGTGCTTCAGCTGCCCACCAGCTCCATCCAGCCCTTCAGCTAGAACTTCAGCAGTTGGTTACTCCTGGGCTTAGGGCTCAGGCCTCCAAGACCAGGCCATAGGAAGAGGGGAGGCTGGTGAGTCAGCCTGGACCCTAGGGTAACCCCAGGCAGGTGCCAAGGAAGTCCAACCTGGAACTAGAGCAGTGTTTCCCAGGCCACCCAGTGAGAACATGCCCCTCAGACCTTCCCGGTGAATTATCGGGTTTGGCTATGAGGGACTGCCCACAGCCAGCCACACCCAGATCAGACAAGGCCATCTGTGTATGAAGGCGTGCTGCTGTCTGCTCCCCTATGTGTGTTCCAGCACCTGCGTGAGTCCATCCGTGTGTGTGCATCTCCTGTGGGCAGGAGGGTGGCAGTGGACAGCCACGTTGACACCTGCAAGTCCGTGTGTGTGCATGTGCCTGAGCAGGGGTGACACTTGGTGGGCGTCCTTTCCCCAGGACAGTCAGGGCTCAGCTGGACTTTGGAACCACGGGGCCTTGCCCACCTCCTGCTCACCCCCTCCTCTTCTCTTTCCCTGTCCCCTCTCCTGGCCCTGTGTCTCTCTCCACCTACCACACTGCCCCCCCTTAGCCCTTCCTTGCTAGCACCTCAAAGGGCACCTCCTCATAACGTGCAGATTTGCGAGAGGGGAGCAGTGGGATGGATTCTCAGGTGAGCTTCCTGTTGCCCTTCGGCCAGCCCCACCTGGAGCCTGCAGCGGGGAGGCTGCCTGCCCCCAGGGGGAGCACAGTGTAGCGACCCAGGCTGGGAACAGCCACAAACTCGGGTCCCAGCTTTACCACTCAGCCTCAGTATTCTCACCTGCAAAATGGGAAAGCAGCAGTACCTACCGCATGGGGTGGTCGTGACAATTAACAGAGATAATGTACCCAAGGCCCTGAGCACAGTGCCCAGCCTGTGGCAGCTGCTGCTTCATTTCATCACTAGGTCCCCCACTTTCTGTGTGCCCCACCGCACACCTCTCAGGAGGGTCCAGTCTGCCTTCTCTGCACCAGTGGAGTCCAGCTCACCTGAGGCAAGGGAGCGAGCACACGGGGCACACGCACAGAGGGAGAGCTTCTGGGGCTGCAAGGGGAAGGGGAGAACTCCCGGCTCCCTCCTCACCATCTGGAGAAAGCGGCGGATGCGCTGGGCGTCCTGTGCCCGGAACACGTGCCACACGGTGCTGACCTGGCTGCCCGGGGACCAGAGCCCCTCCCCGTCCAGGGCTGAGAGGAAATCTGGGGGAGAAAGACGGCTCAGGAGGGCCCAGGGCCAGCAGAGACAGCAACTCGCATCTGCAGCTTGTGCCGACCCTTGCTTCCGGCCAAGGACGCACCTTTCTGTGTCCGGTGCCAGGCAGGCAGTGGGGCTTCAGCACGTACCAGGACACTGACCAGGTCGGTCACCTCCACACAGAGGTTCTTGGTCCCCAGGTTCCCACACTGTGGGCTCACACCTGTATGGAGGTAGAGAAAAGACACTTGGGAATGGGCCCCAGGACCTCGGCACTGATGCACGTGTTCTCGGAGATGACAGGAAGGGGGTAGGGACTGGGCAGGAATGGAGTGGACACTCACCATAGGCCGCCCACAGCTGGGGCTCCAGTGGACGCAGGACAGAGCCCCAAGGGAGGTAGGAGGCCAGGTTGAGTTTCCCATGGCGCGCACAGTACTCTGGGAGTGGCAGGCTGGCAGCCAGGCTCTCTACCCTGTGTGTGTAGGAGCGGGGGGGGGGGGGGGGGGGTTGCCACGCCCAGCAGGCTCAATCCAGGCACCAGAGACCCCATCAAAGCCCCCAAAGCTAGAGTAACTTCCCAAGGCAAGCACAGAGCACTGAGCATCACAGGGCCAAGGAGGAGAGGCAGGGGGGCCTGGCCAGCCAGCCCTATGGCACCACACACCTACTGGTGTCCTCGTCCCCCAGAGCTCTGTGCAGCAGGAAGACGGAGCCCTCATCTGACTTTGGGCGAACTAGGGGAAGAGACAGAAAGGCCATTGGCCCAGGGAGGAACCTCCCTGGCCCAGAGGTCCTCCTCCCGTGGCAGCAACAGAGTCCAGTTTCTGCTCTGGGCTCTGCTTCCAGCTGCCCCCAGGGTCACTCTGGGACTTCGACGGCCCCCCAGCATCATAGGGGCTCCCAGCTCCTCTACCCCACATCAGGGATACTCACTCTCAGGCCGGGAGAATCCCTCCCAGAACGTTGTGCTGCCCAGGCTTGCGGGCTGGGGAGGTCTGAGGGGGGTCAGTTCCTGCACCTGGCCTCCAAGCGCCCCTAGAGCTTCTGTCCCCCACAGGTGGCCTTGCAATTTCCCTTGAATCCCTGACACCAACACGGGCTGTAGTGGGGAAAGAAAGGGGGACACGGGGAGAATGGATGGGGTACCCAACGTGGCCAGGCCGGAGCATGATGTAGGGGCACCAGAACGGCGTGGGGACAGGCCCTGTTGTTCCCTCCGAGTGACGGACCAGGTCTGCCTGGGCCTCGGGATCAAGGCCCTGAGGGTAGGTGAGGCTGTGAGAGCTGGGAGCCTCACCTGGCCCTGCCTCCAGTGCTCCTGGAAGAGGTGGAAGCCTCGAGGAGGCCTGGGCTCCTGCAGCCACAGCAAAGCCCCAGGGGGAGGCAGCCGGGGCCGCACCGGTGAGAGGGGCAGGCCCAGGCCTTTGCGCAGGCCCGGCCTGGCCCGCAGCCCCGGCCCCAGGGCTCTCTCCTGAATCTTCCGTTCCACTACCTGCGCGATGATGCTGTCCAGGATGTTGGTGATGCGGTCGTCCTGCAGGGAGGGAGGGGCGGAGGGGCAGGCGTGCTCAGGACCCGCCTGACCCTGCAGGGAAGGCCAGCCCAGTTTTGGCCCCAGGCCCCCAGCCCTCCCTTCGTGCCCTCGCTCACGCTGGGCAGGGCTGGAGTGACAGGGGCGAAGGCCATGTGTATCCGTTCGTGCCCCAAGCAGAGTTTGACAGCAGTGGAGGCCAGTAGTTCACAGAGAGAGGGACAAGGCAGGGGCCCTTGGCCAGCACGGTCCTCTGCCGGGGTCTCTCTGGAGTCTGGGGTCTCTGTTAGGAAGGAGAGCGGTGAGGGGCTTCACCTTTCTCTCGAGGCTCCATTGCCCATGTGCTCTTCCCTCCTCTCCCGGCGGTGTCTGCTCTGTCCTCACTGGCACTGCCCATCTCAACTCTGGTCTGGATGCACTTGCCTCCCACCAGCTTTCCTGCCAGCCTGTCTAGGACCTCTCCAAAGGAGGGGCTCAGGACAGGGGTCTGGCTGGAGAGGGGTTAGGAGGCTTGTCCTAGATTTTACTTAGATTTATTTTCTTTGGAATGACTTGAGAAGAGAGATGGTGACGGGGGCGGTGGGGGGGGGGCGCTGGGGGGATGGCTAAAGCCATTCCAATCTCTCCTGGGGATTCCAGCCTAGCTCAGCCTCCCCCGCACAGTCTGAGCAAGGCGCAGGGGGCTGCTCACCCTCTTTAATGTCCTTGGTCCTGTTGGTATCCCTGTTGCAGGAAGGTTGTGGAGTTGGGGGAGTTTTCTCCTTCGGCTCCTTCTGTTAAACCCAGCCGCCACCCACCCCCATCCAACCAGAGATTTAAAAATGGCAAATGCATCTCAATCCAATTCAACCCACAGGTATTAACAGTAGACTCAATGTTAAGTCCTAAAATCGTGTTTACAAGGAGCGAAATGTCATACGATACAACATTAGGTGGAAAAAAGTTGCCCATGGACTTATGCATGCAGCACGATCTAAAGTATACTCAAAAGAGGCTGGAATAAATATACAGGCAAATGACTGGAAAGAAATATGTCAAAATGGTACGGTGGTATTGTAAAGCCACTGCTGCTTTCTTCCTTATCCTTGTCTGTATTTTCCAAATTTCCACAGTGGGAATGTGTACGGTGCCTGGCACACAAAAGGCATTTGATAAACCCTCTCTTGAATAAATGACTTTTATAATAAAAACATGAACTTCATAAAAACTCTGTGAAACGCACACTGAGCACCTGCTCTGTGTCAGGTGCGGGGAATACTGAGAAGGTGGGCCGACACTCCACCTGTAGGAGCCTGTGCCTGGGGAGTGGAAAGACGGGCCTCCAGCAGCTCTAGCAAGATGCTGCAACGAGCACAGAGAGGGTGGGACCTCCAGGCAGACAGAGTGCGGACTGCTGCTGGGCGGGGTGGGGGGAGGTGGGGCAGAGGCTAGAGCTCACTCCATGGACCCTCACCCCCAGGGCAAGGAGAGAAGCAGCCTGATCTCACCCAGCTTCCATCTCCCTCTTCATTCCCCTCAGAAGAAAAGGGCCAAACCCTCTGCCAAAGTCAGGAATTTGCAGACACACCGCCTCACCTCGGGGCACACCAGCCAGTGCCCTGTCCCGTGCCCTGCTTCTTACCTGCTGGCCCCCATCCCCAGGGGTCCACATCCGGGCATCAGCTTGGCAGGGACAGTGCCCCCGGATGTCAAACTTGACCCAGACCTGGTGCACTGCAGTGCTCAATTCCGCCATATCTGTGAGGGGGACAGGGGAGACGGGATTTGCCAGTGACTACAGACAGGGGGCCACTTCCATGCTGCTTGGCCTCATCAACCAGGAGAGCATGGGATCGGGCTGAGGGACATCCAAACAGGAAGCTGGTCTCCCCCAGGACCCGCCCTCTGTACGCCCCACCCCTCCAAGAGGGCTCACCCTGGCTGGAGACAAACTGGGTGAGCATCAGGGAACAGGCACTGTGCCCAGCCGCCTGGGTACACTTCTCCATGGACTGTTCCTGAGAGCCTGTTGGGGGTAGGAATGGAGAAGCTGCAGGTCAGGAAATCAAGATAAGCCCAGGTTACGGTCAGGGAAGGAGAGTAAAGGCGTGATATCAAAATCGGGGACCTTGAGAATCTACAAAACATGGGCTTTCTGGGAAACCTGAGTTCCCTAGTGACATAGGAACCTTTGCTTGCAGAACGCAGAGCCGTTAATATGCTGAGTACGTTGCAAGATGCAAGACAATCACGTAGAATATGGTGTTCCGAAAGGTTTCTGACCCTGGAACTCTTTTTGGCCATGTCTATTGGAACACTGGGAAATTTCAAGTGTTGATGTGGCGGAATTGAGCCAAGGGAGAGAAAGCTGAGGACCTTGAAGAGAGCAGGACTTGGAATCAGAAGACCTGCCTTTAAATCCTGGGCCCAACACTTACGAGCTGTGTGACCTTGCACAAGTCACTTAACTTCTCTGAGATTTTCTCATCTGGAAAACGGAGGCAATAATACCTACTTCACAGTGTTGTAAGGTTTAAAAAGGTGCAAGCTGAACAAGGTGAGAGATAGAGAGTAGGCACTCGGCTTCTTTTAAGGATATGGGCATGGCCCTCTGATCTGGGGAGAGGAAACGGTCTGCTCTAAAGGGCATTGAGCAGTGGTAGCTGAGGCTGCGGAAGGAGACTTTCTCAGGGAGCCACAGCCAAGAAATGACCATGAACTTTTTTTTTTTTTTTTTTTGCCACGCCACGTGGCATGCGGGATCTTAGTTCCCCAACCAGGTATCGAACCCGTGCCCCCTGCAGTGGAAGTGCAGTCTTAACCACTGGACTGCCAGGGAAGTCCCTGGCCACGAACTCTAGAGCAACCCTTCCGAAGCCCCCAGCTGCTTTCCCACCTTCTTTCTCCCTGGTCCTCCAAGCGCCTGCCATGCGACCACAGGCCACACACAGCCGGTGGCTGCAGCAGGGGCATCGCCAGTGGGTGTTGAAGAGTCCATGGTGGCAGCGGCTACAGCAACGTGGAATGCCTGGGCTGTCCTCTGTCCTGGCTGGCCCCTGGCCTGCTGACCACAGGAGAGAACAGGGTCACAGGGGTCTCAAGTCAGTGGCCCCTTTGAGGACCTCATGTGGAAGGCCTCCAGGAAGGGATGGACACACAGGAACAGTTTCCACTGAGGGGCTGCCCCAGAAGGGAGACAGGCTCCCTTACAGTCACCCTTGAGTGCTCGACAGCCCCTGTAAAGAACCTACTCGATGCACCGTCTGTCTGCAGCCAACCCTCCCAGGCCAGTGCAGGTTGCACCTCCCTGGCGCCTGCCCCAGGGCTCCCTGAGCCACAGGACTCCCAAAACAGTCCTTCATCCCCCCAGCTCACAACACAGTGGTGTTTCCTCAGGGGATTCCTCTGTATCTCAAAAGAGGAAACCTTGGGGGGGCTGCTCCTTCCCTCACCCAGAGTTTCAGACCAAGCCCTTGTTGGCAGGTGGGAGGTTGCCAGTGTGCACACGTTCATATACTCATCAACACACACTCGTCCCATCCAGGGCTGGGTGCTGGGGATTCAGAGCTGGTCAGGACCTGGCACTTGCACTCCCAGCACTCCCATCACAAGGGGGGAGATGGGCCCATAAACGTGGTAATGCTCGTGGCATCATGGGGTGGGTGCTAGAGTGAGTGGGATGGAAGGAGGAGGGTGGGGACAGCTGCACAAATGGCCCTGAGCGATGAGTAACTTTTCATTCACCAGGTAGGAATAGAAGGGAAGCGCGTTCCAGACAGAGGGAGCAAAGGGTGCCGAGGCCCGAGGCGGCAGACGAGCTCAGGTGAGCCTAGAGGGCCGTGCAGACCGTGATGCCAGTGATGCCGGAATCGGAATCGGAATCGGGGCGGAGGGAGTGGCAGGGTGGACAGGGGCTGGCTGTGAAAGGGGGCGGGGCTGGACTTTCTGGGACAAGAGGGAGCCACCAGGGGGTTCCATCCAGGAAGTGACGAGATGGCAGGAGTGTCTTGTCATTCCGCATGGAAGGGATGCAGGAGGGAGAGCCTGGAGCCAGAGGGATTAGCTGATTGCCCCGAGCTCCTCCCATCTCTAACCTCGGGCCCCAATCCTACCAGCTACCCAGGGCCCAACCGCCGCCAAACCGGAAGCCTTCCTTCCCTTGCAAAGCTGGAGGGAGCTCCGCCCGACCCCAGCCTCCCTCCCGGTGCTCTTTCAGACACTTGGCATTCAGTCTCATTTCCCCAGCAAGCCCAAAGCTCTTAGAGGGTTGGGCCAGACCAGGTTTTACACCTTCCCAACATCCCCGGTCCAGGCCAGAAACTGGAATACAAGTTGACTCAGAACCTGAGCTGGGAATAAGGGCACAGTGGGGCAGGAGCTCTCCAACGCTGGCAGCTGGTTGGTAGGCAGTGCTGGGGGAGGGAGGTCCCATGCTCCTTGTGAAAGCACTGACCACAGGACCGGGCCGTCCCGGGGTCCTGAATGCCTGGTGGGGCCTGCTCACCTTCCCGCTGGGCCCAGGCCAAGACCTCCCGCTCCCTCCGCAGCACGCGGCACAGTCGGTCTCCCAGAGCACTTAGCAGGTGCTTGGCGAGGCCCATGCTGAGCCCGGCCTCCTCGGGGCCAGACCCTCCTCCCTCGGAGCTGGCTGCCGAGTCTTCCTCCTGCTGCTGCTCCCCTCCCAGAGGCAATCTGGAGGTAGGGCAGAGGAAGGTGAGCAGGGAGCCCCACTGGGTGGATGCTGGGGGCAGCCAGGGGCAACAGGCTCACCTGGGCACTGGCTGGGAGTGGCAGGCCGGCCCTCCCGCCTCACCAGCTGCCTGGGCACAGCTTTGGCACTGAGTCATGCCTGCCGGGGGAGCCGCGCAAGGTGTATCCTGCAGCCCCGGGTCCTGGAGGCTGGCCCTGATGTCTCGGGGTCCTGAGGGGACAATGTTGCTGGTCAGGAGGCTGGGCTTCCTGGGTTTCTGTGAACCCCAGGCCCTGCCTTAGCACCCAGCCCGTCCCCACACAGAGCCAGCGCTGCCCCTAGGCCCGGGCCTACGAGGCCTGATTCGGAAAGAGGGAACCAGGCAGCCGGAAACCTCAGAAAGGCTGAGCCCTAACATGGACTGATGGGCCAAGTATGGGGCAGCTGGGGCGCAGGATCCAGTCGGTGTAGACTTGGGTTAGCTCTGCCTCAGCCTCAGTGATACCGTTGGCTGTGTGACAGGGCGAAGAGACAATCCCGACGTGGACGGAGGGCGATGGAAGGTGAGAAGGCCGGAGAGTTTCAACACAGGCCACAGGTGCAGTAACCCAAGAAGTCAGAGGGGCCTACAGCTTTCCAGCCCAGGCAGAGGCCTGGAAGAGCACAGACAGACCCATGCCAGGTACAGGGGTGCAAGACCAGCGAAAGAGTCCTGATCCAGGCCCAGCAGTCTGGGAGGCCAAGAAACCGAGATGACCCCGAAGAACAGAGGCTGGGGCCAGCAGTGCCAGAACCCTCCGTGAAGGGCAGAGCTTGACAGAGGGGTCCAAGATGTGCCCAAGTCCTAACACTGGCAGAGTCCAAACTGAGTTTCCATGATCCAGCTGGCCCAGAGAGTAGTTGTTTGTTCCTCAGGCAGGACAAGGGGTCCTTCAGGAGATGTAATCCCCCGGATGGGGGATTTGTGGCACAAGTAATCACAAAAGTGACTGTCCATTGAGTGCTTGCTAAGTGCCGTTCACGTGAATGATATTGGTTAATCTTTGCAGCACTGTTTACGGGGTAGGTGCTGTCTTTATCCCCATTTTATAGATGGAGAAACTGATGCCCAGAGAGGTGAAGTAACCAGCCCAAGGTCACACAGCACCAATCAGCAAAGTCAGGAGCCAGGTATTCTGACTCCGGATTCCACACTCTGAATCCTGTCATACTGTCACCAGAACGCCATGGCTCGGGAGTAGGCACACGAAAATAGGAGCCACATGCTGGACGGGTCTGGCCTGTACATGCTAAGGACTCCCAGAGAGCTATCCCATCCAGGTGGGCAATTGGACAGCTGGGTGTGATCCACTCTTAAAAGACTTCTGATCCCACCTCCCTGCAAAGCCCCAGTCCTGGCTGCACCCTCCCAAGTAGGGCCCCCTGCAGGCCCTCCCCTGTCCCCTTACCTCTGTGGTCATCACGCTGTTCTGCCTCTGTCTTGTTCCCAAATGATGAGTCCAGCAGCTCCTGCCAACCTCTGGCCCCCTGCCCCACACTGCCTGGGAAAGGGCCGGACGGGCGCTTGGCGGCTGGGCTGCCCACTGCTCCCTGGACCTCGGGGCTGCTTGCCCTCTTGAGGGCGCGCAGCTGGGCCGCTGGGCTTTCCTCCTCCCCAGAGCAGCTGTCTGGGCACCCAAACTGCTCAGAGTGTCGTGTGAGCCATGTCTTCTTCAGCTTGGTGTGATGGCTGGGCGGGCAGGCCCTGGGACCAGGGGCCTTGTTTACTTCCTCACTGGATTCACCCGGCCCACTGGTGCCCCCCTCCAGGTCCTCCTGGCACTTCCTACAAGGGCCAAGACCTCCATCTCTAGCTGGTGGGTGAAGTGAGCAACGGTCCACCTGGGCGGTAGGAGGCCCAGGAGAGGGGCACCTTGATGTGGCTGACGGCCCCAGCTGGTACCCAAGGCTCCCGCCTCCCGGTACAGCCCAGATATTGCCATGAACCAGGCCTGGGGAACAAGTGGGCCACGGGGTCGGGGGAACAGTGTCTGGATGCCCCAGGACACGGGGGCAAAGATTCTGATGCCTGCCGACTCCTGTCTCTCCATCTCTCTGGTGGAGTGAAGGGCGTTCCGCGTCCCCAGTTCTCTGGAGATGCCCCCCAGGCGCTGAGCCCAACAACCCGGGTTCCACAGTTGCCAGTGGCTCCTTGGCCAGCCTGAGAATGCTTGGATCCTTGTGGTAAAAACCCTAAAGAGAGGAGAAGGGATTAAGCTCGTGCTGACTTTGCTTCCCAGTGCTTAAAAGGATGGGCAGAACTGACAACCAGCAGGTGTGGGCCTGTGTGGTTTTAAGGGTTGTGAAAATACTGAAGAATATACTGGTTAATAGGCACTGGTCCCCTAACTGCTTCCGCCACAGCCCCGGCTACCCCAGATCCTTCCCCAGGATTTCTCAGGCCTCCCCATAATCCAGCAACTAAAGGCTTAATGCCTGGCACAGTCAAAGGTCCTCCAGGATCTATTCAGATTGTGTGATGCCCTGTACCACACCGGATTTAAAATATTTTACATCTCATCCCTGAGGTGACCCTGGGGGTCCCTTGTGGGGGAGGTGCCAGAGGTACAGGCCATGGGGCCACCTGCCCACCCCACTCCCAGATACAGGGCCTTGTCTGCCCCTCCCCCCAGGACAAGACCACACATTCTGAGGCCCCAGTTCCCAGGGCCTTGTTCTGGGTGGACAATGCATGAGTCAGTTCCTGAAATGGCCCAAAGGCAGGTGAGGCCTAATGAAATGGGTTTGCTCAGAAGAGGAATTGCTTGGGATTGACTATGTCTGAGCTGACAGGCTCCTCCTCTGCCTGGGTACCACCTTATCTTTTCATCAAAATGGAAGGGCAGGGTGGCTTGGCCCCGGCAGGGCTGCTCAGGGGCCACTGAGCCCCGCTGTATGGCTCTCTGCTCCAACACTCACCTTGCTGCCTAAGTTGAAGGCAGAGGGCACTTTGGGCTGGACTCCGGAGCACCCCCAGGGGTGTGGGGTCAGGGGCCAGTCACATGGACGCTCTGGGGGCAGGCTGGACACTAAGCAGGGTGGCAGGCAGCTGGGCACCCAGAAGGGAGCTTGCTCTAGGATCTTGGTCTCCAGAAGAAAGGGGCAGTGCAAGGGTCGGAAGGCCACAGGGTCACTCTTGGGAGGGCCACCGTTATGCTCAGGAATCAGTGGGCCGTAGCAAGGCGGGCACGCTGACCCACAGAATGCCAGCGGATGGGTAAGCATAGCCTCCTTCCAGCGCAGCGCCTCCTTGCTGCCTGACCAGCTAGCCTTCCTCTCTCCATTCCAGGGACCTTTGCCCTCCACCAATGGGAGCATGTCCTTGGGGATCTGGGGGAAGCCAGGGGGGAGCCAGGAGCCTGGGGTGCTCAGGACACCCCTCCAGAAGGGAGCAGGCTCTCCCAGGCACAGTGCTGCAGGGCTCAGGCCATCTTGTGGTGGGGTATCCGGCTCTGGTCCCACGATGCCATTCTCAGGGGCTGACTTCTCCCAGGCTGGGCTGTCCTTCAGGAAGCTGGGCGTACTCTCCATCACTCTCCTGCCCTCATGGGGCTCTCCCAGAGGGGGTCCCTGGAGCATAACCACCAAGGCATGAGCTGCTTAGGCACATGCCTCAAGCACCCTACCACCTGGTACAGAGTGGGCACCGCCCTGGCAGCACCAAGGCACCCCAAACCAGTAAGACAAGTGCCAACCTACAGCTGGGCTCCACGTTGCCTGCCACATGAGACTCGAGCGACCCGCCTGAGTGGGATGTTCCAGTGTGGGAGGTCATCCCTTCCCCTGAATGCCTGGAACTTGACAGCCCACCTGGGCCAGAGCCCCTCAGCTCTGCCGATTCTAGGATGACATGTGCTGGCCTCGTCGAGCCTGGAACTGGTCATGAGCCATGCGGAAGGACAGAGGGCAAGAACCCAAAAGATGTGCTCCGTGTTAGGCACTGCACTGGGAGACAAGAAGCTTGGATCCTGGCCCTGATCCAGTCACGTGCTGTGTGACCTTGGGCAAGTCACTCCTCTGGTGCCCTTGTGTAAAATAGGGCTGGGAAATGGGCAGTCTCAGAAGCCTCTTCCCTGCGCTGCAGTCTGTGGTTCTGGGGGTGCTGCTTCCCCACCCCCAGCCCTCAGCCCCACCTAGGCTTGTTTGGGTGGGAAGTGCAGACAGGGCAGGCTGGAGTCACCGGGGAGAGCAGGGCTGCTGGCTGGAATCTCTGCCTACACCTGGGCAGCCTCGAGTCTGCCTCTTCCAGGTGCTGTACAGTTTCTTGGCTTCTGAGGCAGAGCCCAGGACAACTGCTGGGGGCTGGGATCTCCACCACTGCCCCCAAGGGAAGGAGTGAGCCGGCACAGGGGAGGGGAGTTAGAGGCCTCAGCCGGGATGGGTCAAGATGCCCCAGTCCAGCCGGCAGTGCTAGGGCGGCCGGTGGACGCTGGTAACTGCAGCCTGGCCGAGGGGAGGGAAGGAGGCGGGGAAAGCGGGCTGGGGCCCAGAGAGAGGCAAAGGAGGGAAAATTGAACGTGTGTGCAAAGGAGCAGGATGACAGGTGGCACCAGAGCCCCTGCGCTCTCCCAGCACGGCCACGTCTGCCCACTGGGGGAAGCTCCAGGAAGGAGGGGAGGGAGCCCAGGGAGCCGTGACACAGGGCGCTCGGGTTTTCTGGGGCTACCGCTCCGACGCGATCCAGCCCCGTCGGGCATCCTAACTTTCAGAGGTGTGGCCAAGCCCAGAGGAGCAAGGGGAGCTCATTCCCTGCGTGCGGCGCGGGCCAGGCTCAGAAATGCCCTGCTATGGGCGTCCCCAGAAGGCGCGCGCCCGGCGCCCCTCTCGGCCCTTACCTGGGCTTCACGCGCCGGGCGCGGCGCGGGCGGCGGCGGTCTTTGTGGCCGACGCCGGGTGCCCTCTACCCATGGGCTGGTTCCGGGGCCTCCCGGCCGGCGGGCGAGAACTCGTTCGTTCTCCCGCTCTCTGCTCAGCGCGCTGGCTCTCTCCTTCCCCCGGGGCGGCGGGGGCGCTCTAGGGCCGCAGGTTGGAGGGGTCGGGCTCCGGGATCTGCAGGATGCGGCACACGGCGCGGATCGGCCGCACCAGCTTCTGGGCCGAGGCCGTGGGTTGCGCCATGGGACGCCGAGACTCCGTGCTGCGCTGCGGGGAGGGCCGGGCCGGGGCTAGGGAGCGGGTGCCCCCGGAGGGAGAGAGGGAGCCGGGCCGGGGGGAACGCGCGCCCCGGGTCGGAGATGGCGGAGTGGGGGGAAAGGCCGAGGGGCCGGGGGAGGGGGTCGTGCCTGGAAGGGAGGCTGGTCCCGTGACCCGGGAGAGAGGCACCAGCTACGGCGCAGCACGGCGCGGCGCGGCTAATGGAGGGAGTGCCCAGCGGAGAGCGCAGCAGGACCTCTGACCGCCATCGCCAGACGCGCAACTGAGAGTGGGGAAGCTGCTCCGCCGGTTTCCTCCTCCAGCACCCTGCGGGGAAACAGGAGCCCGAGATTCGGCGGCCCGGCGTGGGCCTGCCCCCTCCCGGGCCCCGGGGGCTTCCGCCAACGCCCCGGCGATGCCACCGGCTGCGCACGGGGAGAATGAGCCCTTTGTTCCCCCCTCCCCCCCGCGGCACCCGGGCGCCTGCCGAGAGAGGCTCCCCGGGGGCAGCGTGCCAGCTTCCCAGCCGCCCCACCCTCCCGTGGGCCCAGCCCCGGAGCCTGGCAGGCGGGCAGCACCCCAACTATAGGTGCCAAGCCCGGGAACTGGAGCAAAGGGCGGGAGGGGCCGGACCAGGCCACGATGGGGCGGGGTGCCCCCAGGGGTGCCAGGGCAGGGCTGCTGGGAGGGGTCAGTGCCAGAGCTGGCAGGGGCAGTCGAGTTCTCACGGGTCAATGATGGGCGCTGTGACCCACGCCAGCCACCCCGTGCTTGCTGGACCACTGGCTCTCCAGCACGTGGGCACACACGCTGGCCCAGGTCTGCCCTGCCCGGTTCCTCATCTGGCCAAGCTGCTCTTCACCGTTCCAGACGCAAGCCCCCTCCCAGGGCACAGTGTCCTGCCTTAGCAGTTCTAGAAGGGTCTAGGCTCTAGTCTGTTCCTGGTCTAAGGGCCCCAGTTTCACCAATTGTCCAGAGAGGAAGTGGGACCAGATGCGCTCTACCACCTGCTCCAGCCCCGTGTTCTGGGGGTCTGCGCCATCCCGTGCTCCTAGTGTTTCCAGGCCCAGCACTGGAGAGGGGCCCATGGGAGTGGCTCCTGGGAGGGAGCAGAGAGGAGGAGAGGCAATGGGAAAGCAGGGCACCCTCCACCCGAGGAAGCATCCTGGCCCTTCTGCGAGGGTGGTTCCTGAGCACAGACACAGACAGATTCAAACACACACAGACAGATTCAGACACACACAGAAACACACACGCCCAACGGGCGCTTCCCTTCCCCTCAGGCACCCACGTCCCACCCCGTGACTCCCCTGCCTCCCTGTGGAAGCCATCCTTGGCCTGCCTTCACCCAGCCTGGGACAGAGAGCACCACCCACCCACCCCCATTCCATCGAAGGGATGAGGTTTTGGATGCCTCTAGCCTTGTCCCAGGTCACACTACCATCCCTGGAGCAGGAAGCCACGAGGGTGACTCCCTTCCAGGGACTGGAGGGGAGGCCGGGATCCTTTCACCTGTTGAGGAGGGGTCCTGAGGAGAGGAGGCCTGAAGGGGTCGGCACCAGGCAAGACTTAGGTCATGTTGGCATAGATTCTCCTGGCCCCTTCGCCTGCCCCCAGAGGCCGGTTCTGTGACAGGACAGGCTGGTAGGGGTTGTTTACATGACTGAGTTATTAACACTCCCTTCCTCCTCCAGCTCCCCTGAGGGGTGGCCTGGACCTGAGTGTGCCAGGGGAAGTGATCCTGGAGGGTCTAACCCAGACTGCCGTCCCCAAGCCCCGAGCCCCAGCCTTCCGCTCCCAGGCTGGCTCCAGGATGTGGATGGACGGCTGGGGTGTGCCTGTAGTCGCCCATCTGTGTCCTCTGGCAGCCAAAACTTGTGGGAGATTCCAGGGGGAGATTCCTGAGGCTTGAGGCCTAGAAGAGGCTGGGCAGGGCAGGGTGGGAGCCTGGGCTGCCCAGGCCCCGAGGGGATGGGGACAGCCCCAGGGGAGTGGGACAGACACCTCCCCCCACCCCCTTTGCCAAGTCTCCTTTGCCAGATCACTGTCTCTGGACTAGACCAGGACTCTCAGGACAGGCTCCTAAAATGCCCAGGGGGTCGTGGGGGGGATTGGGGTGGCGGGGGAAGGAACCCCTTTCCACCCTCGCCCAGCTCCCCATCCTGCTCTATAGCCCATGCCACAGGCCCACGGAGCCCTTGTAGCCGGCTGTTCTGTGCCTGAGGACAGAGCAGATCTGAGGAGCCACACAAAGACACAAACAGAAGGAAAGCCACGCAACGTGTGGACACAATGCCGGATCCGTGGACAGAGGCGAGCTGACCAACACCCCCAGACACGCGTGGGTCCGCTCCGGCCCCGCAACGACCCCTCAAGAGCACTGACACACACACACTGATACACACGCTCCCACTGACACGCGCAGCAGCACTCATGAGCCAGCTGCCCTCGCGCTGTCCCCAGAGCCCCTTACCTGGGCAAGCACAAGTGCCCTTCGGGCGGAGCAGCCCCCTGCCCAGGGGAGGGCAGCAGGCGGGGGCGGGGAAAGGAGCCCCGGAGAGTCAGGCCAAGCTGCCACTAATCCGGGCAGGGAGAGGGGGGGCACCCACACGTCAGAGTGGGGACTGCCGGGTGGAGGGCATCTGAGGACATCCCCTCCCACACACGCGGCCGTCTGGGCACCTAGCCCTACTTACCCAGCCCCTCCATCCTTCAGACAGCTGAGGCTGGCCTCCCCCCACCCCACCCCCACCCTTGTGGCAACGCCTGGGGCGGGGGCATGGGGGAGGGGGGGAATACCGGGGAGAATTCTCCCAGGACCTGGGGAGAGGGGCAGAGGCAGGGAAGTGTGGAGATGCTTCTGGAGCCAGGAGGAAGCTCCGCGGCAGATGCCCCCTCCCCTCTCACCCACCCACCACATCTCTGACCTAGTTACCCTTCTCATTCTGCACCTCACCAATGCCCCTTCTCCTTCCGCCCAAACTTCCCTCCCCTGCAATCCAGCCACCCTGGTAGAGAAAGCTACCTCCTTCCGCCCCGGGCTCAGGACCTTCTGCCTAGTAACCCAGCTCTGGCCCCCGGGATTTCCTAAGCAGCGGGCCTCATCCTCCTGCCGGGGCTTCTACGCCTACCCAGCCATAGGGCATCCCAGTCCCTGATGCTGGGCGGGGGACAAGGGGGCGAGAGCCGGAGTGCTCACGTCCTCAACCCCTTAAAGGGTGGGGCAGTGCCAGCCACGATGCCCCAACTCAGCCTGGGCCAGGGCTGTGTTGAAACAAGAGGCTAACCACGCTGCTGCCGCCCAGAGTGGCAGCGAAAAATGCAGCAGTGGGGCTCGTGCACCTGGAGGCCAGAGTAGGGAAGGGGGACCAGGACCGGGAGGGGCCGAAGAGGTCGGGAAAGAGAGGAGCTACCAGAAAGGTCCAAGGGACAGCTGGGCTGTGGGGAGGAGGGAGAAGGGAGGGCTGGGAATGAGGGGCCACCTGCTCCTGGGAACTCGGAGGCAATGGGGGCATCCCTCAGAAGCAGGCAAGATGGATGGAGAGGACAGAGTGAGCACAAATCAAGCAGGGCTGGTACCTGGGCTAAGCAAAGGTGCGTGCTTCCAAGGGGACTGGCCTAGGCTCTTCATCTCCCTACCAGTGCCCGGCATGATTCTGCCTGGGAAGGCAGTGGGCACACTGGTGGGTAATAGAAGGTGGGGGGCCGTGGGTAGGCCAGAGCAAGGCCTAACCTTCCCCTAGGGGCCAGGCCAGAGAGGGCATGGGCTGGGCCAGTAACCCCCCATGCAGAGGGAGATGGTGCTGGGCAGATGTGTCAGTGATTCTCAGAGGGACAGGGCAGGCTCTGAGGGAAGCCCAGCCCACACCCAATGCCCCAGTCTCGGGATCACATGTGCTTGTCCAGAACTTGGAATCCTCCTTGCCCCTTCCCTTCTGGCCCCAGGATGTCTTGTAATCCAAACAACTGCAGCAGACATTCGCCAGACATGTGTCACAGAGACCTGGGCATTTTCAAGGCTCTGTGATGGGCACCAAGGAGATGCAGGGTACAAAGATGAATGTACAAAGTCATCCCCGGCCTCGAGGAGCTTCTGCTCACTTGGTCCATGTTCTTTTACCAGCTAACATTCCCTGAAGCACCTTAGGTGTCAGGCCCTGTGCTGGGCACTGCAGGTAACGATTGGAGTTGGGCATGTTAACAAACGTTAACAAGGTGCTTCCAGTCCCAGCCTGGAAAAGTCAGGGGAGCATCACAGAGGGGGTGATGCTTAGCTCAGAAATGAGAGACTAAGTACTTCACCACGTACTACAATATTTCACTTGGTCTAAACCACCATTTGCTCCAGGCCAGGATAGAAAAGTAAGACGCAAATCTATTCATTATGAAGTCACAATGTAGTGGGGAGGGAAATACGATGCGCTCAAGGCAAAAATAGAAGTCCATGCAAGCACAGAGACAGCGTGGTCTAGGTGAGCAATCAACCCCAAGGGCAAAGGGAAGGTTACAGAGGGCTTCCTGGAGGAGGTGATGTCTGAGTGGGGTTCAGAGGGCAAATAGGAATAGGACAGAGTGTTGGGGGGACAGGAGAAGAGCATGGAGACATGAGAGAGTCCAGACTGATGAGGTGGGGAGCAGGAAGCAATTGGGGTCTAGGGGAATCTGGTTGGTCAGGGAGCGGAGGGGGCGATGGGCACATGAGCACAGCCCACGGCATCGTGCGCCCAGGACAGGGTGAGTGGGCCAGAGGTCAGGAGCCTCAGGATTCTCAGGAGGGGTTGGAGTCAGGGGAGGGTTCTTGGAGAAAGCAGATCATGAAGGAAGGCCGCGTTGGCCTGGATGGAAGACTCTTGGGAGCACAGGGGATGCATACGGTGCAGCAAAGACCTGGAGGCCAATGTTGGAATGAAAGTGATGCGTTCTGCAGATAGAAATAGGAGCAACGGGGCAGCCAGGCTATAGCCAGGAGACTGGGGCTAAGATAGCCATCAGGGACCAGCTCTAATTCAGCCCCAGGGTCCAGGTGACCCTGCCTGTCACTGTAAGGCCCCATCCAAGGAATGAGGGCTGGTGAAGCCCCAGCTCCCAGGAAAACTCCCTCACCAGCTGGCACCTTCAGGCCTCCCCCAGCTGCTCCCCGCTTTGCGTTTTTATCTCATTTTGTCCATTTATCATACACTCCTCTGTTTTTCTCTCTCGGTTCAGGAGTGTGGATTCTGCCATTCCACCCCTACCAAGGTGACTTCTGGGCAGACTTGCATCAGGATACAGGGCCCTGACCCACAGGCAGCACAATCATGGACAAGTTGCCTCACCTTTCCAAGTCTCAGTCCTTCCATCTGTAAAATGGCTATAACCCCAACCTGACAAGCTTGACAGGAGGATTTAAGAAAATCATCTCTTTAAAATGCCCAACACAAGGTCAGACAAACAATGTTTCTTTATAAATTTATTTATTTATTTATTTTTGCCTGCGTTGGGTCTTTGTTGCTGCGCACGAACAGGGGCTACTCTTCGCTGTGGTGCGCAGGCTTCTCATTGCAGTGGCTTCTCTTGTTGCGGAGCACGGTCTCTAGGTGCGCAGGCTTCAGTAGTTGTGGCACATGGGCTCAGTAGTTGTGGCACGTGGGCTCAGTAGTTGTGGCTCACGGGCTCTAGAGAGCAGGTTCAGTAGCTGTGGCGCATAGGCTTAGTTGCTCCACGGCATGTGGGATCTTCCCGGACCAGGGCGCGAACCTGTGTCCCCTACATTGGCAGGCAGATTCTTAACCACTGCGCCACCAGGGAAGTCTCCACAATCAATGTTTGATAACTGCTAGTTTCCTTCTCCTTGCCTCCCAGGCAAGAAACTTTCTCATTTACTCTAGTTCTGCACAGTGGTTAAGTACACTGACTCTGGAGCCAGACTGCCTGGTTTCCAAGCCCAACTCTGCCACTTACTAACTGTGTGACCTCAGGCAAATTACTCGCCCTCTCTGTGCCTGTTTTCCCATTTGTGAAATGGAGATTATAATAATAGTATGTACCTCATGAGATTGTTGTGAGGATTAAATTAATATATGTCGGGGGCTCAGAGCAGTCCCTGCTGGGGCAGCCACATTCTAGGTGCTAGCTCTCACTTGACTTTGCATCCCCAGTTTCTCGAAACATGCCTGGTACCTGGGAGATGCTCAATAAAGATTTTTGAATGAATAAATGAAGAGATAAATCAACCCCATGATGCAAGGGGACACCAAGATAGGAAGTCACTGAACACCAATCCGTGAGGAGCTAAGCCACCCAGCAGATTAAGTTCTTCTCCCAAATAAACTCGGATAATCCCCATACCCAGAATTAATCCACACTCCTCAGGTCACTCCAGGTGACCACCCCATTTCCCCTCTTCCTATCCGACACTCTCCCCCATCTCTTGACTTAATTGAAAGCGGGAAAGAAGAGGAGGCATGTGCGTGGGAGAGGGGAGCAGCCCGGGGACAGTACAGTAAGACCAGCATCCAGGGGCAGGAGAGGGCAGGGCTGGGCACTGGCTGCCCCAGGGATTAGAGTAAGGGATGGAGTGGAGCCAGCAAACAGCCTGGGTCTCAGAACAGAGGAGATTCGTGGATGGGACTGGCTGATGACCAATGACCACGAACAACAGGGAGGGCCTTTGGAGGCCGGGCCAGAGTCCTGCATCATCCCTCCAGCCAGCCAGCTGACAGGCCAGCCTCCAAGCCCTGCCCTCCTTGACCTGGAAGCTGGGGGCAGCCCAGATCCTGGCAGCTGCTGCCCTCTCACGGCCACTCCGCAGAGGTGCAAAGCTCCTGTCAACCTGCGTGTTTACGAACTCCGATGCACCGGGAGCTGCCTAGAGGCCTGACAGGCCCTTGGAGGAAATCGGCCCCCCCAGCCCTAATCTTCCGCACAGCTTTAGCTAATCCCCATGAGATTATCGTGCTGCCTGAGTTCCCTCCACACCTTCGCTGCTCCCACTGGTTTCTACTTCCCTTCCCGTCAAGGCCTGATCCCATCCCCTCCCGATTGCATTCTTAGACTCTGGACTGCCCC